GACCAAATTATATCGCCCCAGGCCGGTGGGTCCGCAAGGTGCTTTTTCGCGTAGGCTAGTCGTTGCTCTTTGTGGCGCGACGTCAGGGATGGCGTATGCTTACGCTTGTCGTACGACAGAATTTCGGAGCCTTGAAGGCGACGCTGACAGGTCCTTAAGGACACGTCGAGGTTGAGGGATGTTTTGAGGCTTCTGGCACTAAGGCCAGTCTTGGAAGCCTCGCGAACGAGGAGTCGATAATCGCGACCAACAAGTTTGGTCTTCTTGCGACCGTGGAAATTCCTTCCATATGCGTCAACGTCCTTAAGGAACGTGTGTATGGCCTTAATTGACCGCCCGACTTCTTTGGATATGGCCCTATAGGACATTCCATGGGCTCGCAGTGCTAGCACCATCCCGCGCTCCATCTCAGTGAGTATCGCGCCGTGGCCCATTTCTGCAATTGACACGTGTTCTACGAACGCTATGTAAGCATATGTGTGTGCTAGTACCTACTTGTATGCATACCTGAGGGTTATATGCGTCTGTTTCTATCTATATGGCGCGGGTCGGTTGGCTGACTTCGGCGTTTGGAGCAGATTTGAATGCCGTCTGGCGGCAAATCACACTTTGAGGCAATTGACCAATCAAATGCAGGCATTTGCGCCTTTTCGTTCATTCAGAAGTGCAATTGGACGAAAAATATCCGCCAAAAAGTGGGTGTTTCTATTCTTGTGGCGCGCACTTAACTGTATCCGCGAAAATTCGGTGTCTGTCACTTTAGGCTTTTTTCAGAGATGAAAATTGCTGGCGTTTGCACAGAAATTGCTGTACCTTTTCAGGCTGTGATTGGTGGATTTCAAGGACGTGGTCAAATCAACAAGATAAACCACCAACGCCATGACAATGCTGGATGCGCCGCTTGAGGTCGTGTTGTACTACCGCTACGTCCACATCTCGGACGTTGGCGCATTGATTGCGTCGCAAGAACACCTGTGTCAAGCATTAGGGCTCCAAGGCCGCGTGCGCATCTCGGAAGAAGGCATCAACGGCACGCTGGGCGGAGCGCCTGCGTCGATCCAAGGCTACGTCGACGCGATGGAGTCGTCTCCCGAGTTCTCCGGTCTCAATATCGACTGGAAGCGAAGCGATGGAATGGGCACGATGCCGTTTCACGACCTCCTCGTTCGTCGCGTCAAGGAGATCGTGTCGATCGAACTCCCGGACGAAGCATGCAACGTCGCCAACACGGGCATTCACTTGTCCCCGGAAGACTTTCACGCGGCGCTACAAGACGCAACGCCATCCACAACAGCCATCATTGACGTCCGCAACAACTACGAATACAAGTATGGTCGCCTCACCACGCGTTCGTTCGTTGATCTCGGGCGGGTGCCTCTAGCATCGGCCACTTCCATTCGGCCTTGAATCCATCGACGCGGCGATTCGGGCAGTTTCCGCACTGGGTTCGTGATAACCTGGACGATCTCTCGACGAAAAATCGCATCCTCATGTATTGCACGGGCGGGATTCGATGCGAGAAAGCGTCGGCCTACCTCAAACACCTCGGCCTCTCGAACGTGTATCAGCTCAAGGGCGGGATCCATCGGTACTTGGAAGCGTTTCCGGACGGCGGCGCATTTCTCGGCAAGAACTTTGTCTTTGATCACCGTACGAGGCCTTTGCCACAGTGCATGCCTGATGCCATTCGAATCAACGTAGGGGTTGCAGTCGCATCATCCAATGACGCGGTCGTCGGGCGCTGCGAAAGCTGCGGCAGCGCCCACGACGACATTACTGGGATTCGGTGCTCGTACTGCCGCATGCACGTCATGCTGTGCAGCGCGTGCGGTGAACAACCTTCGTCAAAGGCGGCGACGCGGGTGTTCTGCAGCGAGCACAAATGGCTCGGCGAAGGAAATGCTGCCGAATTGACTGCCAAGATCGCTGCGTTGGAACGGCAACTAAAGGAGCATGCCGGGCCGAATGGCAAAGGCCGCCGTCGATCCATACGAAAGCAGGTGGACGCGATCGAGGAAACGCTGGCGGGATTGCAGCAGCGTTCTCGTCCGTGGACTACATTGACGTAAACATGTATTCAACTCATGCATTCAAAGCAAAGGGTACGGCGACTGCGGACGCCGCCTACATGACGGACACGCGGCGGAAGGACTGAATCGGGGGAAGCGGAGGCAGCACGATCGGCTGAACAGCATGAAACACGCGCTGGTACGGAGGTAGTCCGAGCACGACATCGATCTTCGTCGTGGTCGGCGGAGGTGGTGTCGCTGGCGCGATCGAGTCGTCTTTCGCAGGGCCTGGTGGGGTCTGGCCGACCTTGACGGCTCGAGCTTCATGGAGGACGTCAACTTTGGCGAGGCACTTGGCTACGTGGAACTCGATGGCTTGGCACATGGCCGCGGCGTTCTTGGTTTGGAGCACAAACTCGCCGACTTTGGAGCAACTCGCATCCATAAAGCAGCTCAAGCAAAGCGACGGCTGGGGCTGCAGCGCCAGCGACCATCTAGTGGGTGGCACGCGCATCCGTGGTGAGGGAAGAGCGAGCCATCGGGCAGTGGATCGTACTTGTGAATGTCAGTAAAGTACCACTCGATCGTCGACACGTCCGACGATGGGGCGGTGGTCAGGCGGATGCCATCGCTTGCGATGGCGAGAGTGGCGCTGGTCAGAGGGGTCGGACCACGAGTTGTTGCTGCGTCGTCGAGAGGTTGCTGGGTAGCAAGCTTGACTTCGCATGACAACGGGGCATCGGGAACGAGCGCCGCCGCCAGATCCACATGCTCCCCCAATACCTACGACCCCCACCACCATGAATTCCTGGACCAGTCATTGTTTCTTGGCGCAGCTCCACGCACCCGAAGCCATGCCGCACGGTCCGCTTCGTCGGCGGCACAAAAACTCCACGTGCGGTACAGCGTAACGATGTCAAACGAGAACGGTGGGGCGTCCGGGAGCGCCGCCTGCGGTCGAATGCACAAAACGGACGCGAGGTCGATGCGTTTGGAAGATGGCTCTGTTTTTTCCGCCGTGTCGGCATAGCTCAGCCATGCCCCCTACGATGCATGACGATCGGCGGACTCTCTCGGCGATGCGCTGGACGGCGTACCAAGGGCGAGTCGTGGAGGATCGCGTGCTTTTTCTTCCATGACTGCGTCAGGTGGAATCCTTCGCTCGCCGTCTTGGATAGCGGGCCTTGATGTTTGACCCAGCGCGCGGAGGACGGTCCGCCGCTGTCGTGGCGGCAAGTGGACGACGGCACTGGTGACGTTACCGCCGCGCTGGAATACACAGGACGGCCGTACAGCGACGCCGGCACCACGTTGGCCGACGCAGCCGTTTTGTCCGAAAGCTGATTCAGGAAGAACCACACGGCCTGGCACACCAGCGCGGGCTCTACCAAAGTTATGGAGCGATCGGCCTTGGAAGCTTGTGTTTTGAGTACCTGTCGTGGGAAACAAGACAGGGGGGGCTGACGCATCGACGAAGCGGAGCTCCACAGCCGACCGCAACATCTAATTGCACAGCGATGGACGGGAAGCATCGGATGGCGTTCCGTACGTTTGGATGGATCGACTCGATGGAATCGTATGGAGCAATGCGCTCCATCTTGGCAGGCTCGTCTTGAACGAGGACGAGATGCGTCTCGGTCACGATGAGCGAGTTGGATGGAGTGGCTGCGTCGAGAAACGTCATGGTTCCGTGGCGAAGGAATTCGAGGCAGACGGCGTCGCGACTGGGGACGACCACGGACGACGGCGGGGGTCGGTCTGCCAGGAGCAACTCGCGGCGGAGGGCGAGGGGGATCTTTGTGCGTCGTTCGGGACGCACCAAAGATGAACGGAGTTGCTGGAGAATGCGTGGTTGCTTGGAGCCCGAAAACACTCCGACGTACGTGGTCCCCGGTAGCTGGGGCAACTGTGCCTCATTCAGCGCAGTCGTCAAGCTCTCTTCAAACTAGAAGAGCCACGGTCAATACAAGTCGCCGTGTCGCTGCTTTTGAAAGCGCCGAATGCGATCGACAGCCACCTGGGAAAGCGCTGGCGACATCGTGACGACAAGGACACCGTCGGCGACATCGTGAAACGTGACGGTTCCGCTGTGGTAGTTCCACTCGATGTTGCGGATCTAACGTAGCGTTGGGATCGACCTGTGGGTGTCGGCAGACATGACAGACCTCGATGAATAGGAGCTCTCGCATGGGCGTCGGCATTCCATTCTTCTGAACGACAACTCGATCCGACATCAGCTCGACGCCGACGTCGCCATCGTCCGTCTCGGCTATGTGTGCGTGGAAAGCGGGAAAGCCACCCGTGAGGGTCTTGGACGACGAACCCTTGCGCGGCGATAGTCTTTGCACCAGACTCTTCATCGCGCCCCCGACGCAGGAGTTACACGTTGGCGCGGCCACTTTCCAGTGTCTCTTGGTGCATGACAGAATAACCTTCAAGTGTGAATTAAAACATAGACGTTAAAACAAACCATCATCTAGATTGCGGAAATTTCGCGAGAACTGGTCGATGCTGCACACGCAGTGTGAGGATAAAACGTACACAACATCGCTGCATCTCCGAGAGCCCTCTAACGTGCACATACACTGCATATGAATTCTGCTAACACGCTCGACGTGTGTACGCTTAGCGTCCTTTGTTTGGAGCTCCACGAGCACATACACTCTTTAGAAGCAGTGACCAGCATATGGGTGACAACTAGATACTATTATAATGCATTCTCACGAGAGGACGGAGTTAAAGACCGCTTTTATGGAATAAAACGTCATGTTGAATGCGCTGGGGGAGGTTCCGTGGAAGACCAAAGAAGGTCAAAACGGACCCATCACAAACGATGATGGATTTCCTGTCATTTTCAAAAAAGTCGAGAACGCGGGAAGTCCATCCGATGGCGACACCGAAGCTCTTGCTCCCGCTCGTCGCGCTATGGCTGCTCGGGAACATGGTGTTTTTCTATTGCTACGAAGTGGTCATCTTCCTTGCGTTCCGCGCATGGAGTCCGTCGCTGTACCGATCCTATATGTGCGTCGTGCTGGATATATCCAACGGGACTGAACGATGACTTAGGGCGGCGGTGCAAACGGCGTGGGTAGACGTCATCGCCACCGCGTTTCCCACGACAGACCTCATCGTCAGGTACGTCCATGTGAGCAGCGACTTTGGTTGAGTCTTGACGTATCTTGTAGCGGCCAATTGCCCACGGACCCGACGAAACCCGCCATCATTCTCTGCAACCATCAAATCGATGCCGACTGGTGGTATTTATGGGATCGTACGTCAAGTCCTTCCTCGTTGAATTCTTGATGGACAATCGTATCAGTCGCGCGGCGTCTGGGTGGTGGCGGGAACCTCAAAATCTGTTTGAAGCAAGAGCTCAAATACGTTCCCATCTTTGGGTGGGGTCTCGACTTGCTCGAATTCTTGTTTGTCAAGCGGAACGTTGAGCACGACCGTGTGCATGTCAACCGTGCGTCACATTACTTGGTCGACTGTCCATCGTCACCACGTGTGTCTAGAGCACATGGCGCGGTTTGTCCGGGAGAAGTTTCCCTTTTGGATGCTCGTGTTCCCAGAAGGCACGACGATTCATGCGGAGGTGATGGAAAAGTCGCAACGATTTGCCCAACGGACGAACCGCCCCGAGTTGACGCGACTGCTTCTTCCGCGGACGACGGGGCTGCACACGATGCTCGCCGCGACAGAGCAGATCAAACCCGATGTGTACGACCTCACGATGGCGTATCCAACATACAGCGGAGAGGTGCCGACGGCGGCGATGGGGTACAGCCGGAAGAAGGACACTGGCGTGCCGTCCATGACGGATGTGTTGTGCGGCCGCGGCCCCACAACCGTGTGGATTCACGGCGCCAAGCATACTTTTGACGACGTGTTTGAGAACGAGGAAGCCTTTCTCGACAACGCGTGGCAAGCCAAGGAGAAGTTGCTATCGGACTTTATCTCCAACCAGGTGCACGATCCGTATCCAGTTGCATGGCATGCTGACGGAGAGCTGCAGGAGTTTGCACCGGCGGTGAAACGACGGATGCTGCAGTCGCAGGTACTGTTGTGAACCTATCCATTCCGAACCACAACGGTGACGACTCATATCCTGGATGGACACGATAGCGGTCGTGGACGAACATTGTGCAGTTGTGGGCATCGGCGGCCGTGGCGCTCGCGCTGTCTCCAGTGGTGGCATGTTTTGCTGGCGCATGTATGTGTGTGTGGATCGACTTGTATTCGACAAACGACCTCTCTCTCTCTCTCGAGTAGATCATGCAGCGTCGGCGGCCAAGCACGTGGCGGCCTGGACGTCGTCGTGCTTGGTGCCGTCGAAACCAGTGGACAAGACAATTTAATTTGATGTGGAACGTCCTTGCGCAGCTGCGGTCGGTCCGTCGGCACGAAGGACCTGCGACGCAGTGTCTACGCATTCTCGAGACACGTGCAACTAGCCGATCGGGAGTTGGGAGGCCACGATGCCCCTTGGCTCGATCGGGTGACTGGAGTGCTCACTGCATGTATTCGTTCGACGTCCGAGTCGATGCGGCAGGACAGTTGGTTGCTCGATTGCATCGAGTATTCGCGCATTCGCATCGGCACGACGTCGACGTTGCCGCCAACTCGTCGGGCAAGACGACGAGTGTGTTCATTATGTTGAGCATTCGAGTCGCGGTGGCGGCGGCACCACCTATGCCGTGACGTAAGAAGCAAACTTGGCGCGGCAGATCGGGCATGCGTCGATCTCGTCCAGACACGTCGTGCAGATGCACTGGTGCCGACAGGGCAACACGATGACATTGGTCGGGTTTTCCAAGCAGATGGAGCACTCGACGAAATCGTTGGCGCCAAAGATATCCTACAACTCGCCACATCCACCACGTTCGTCAGAGCCGTCGACGTACGTGCGCCACGATCATGGCATCGCTCGAGCATGCGAAGAAGCGTTGCTTGATGGGACATGACGTTGCCGTCAAATCGAGGACGAAGAATGCGGCAGAGATGGATCGAGACGTCGGTGGAGGAAATGGGGACGGGGCGTGCACGACGAGGTCGATCTGCGGTGCGCCGGACCGCACGACGACGACGGCGGCAGCCGCGTTGGACGTTGGCCGTGGAAGGGATGCATGGGTGTAGTGGAAAAGACAGGTGGCAGACGACGGAGATGCGGCCCGTTGAACGACACATCTAGCATGTATACCATGGGCGTCGCAATCGAGATGCACACGTACGGGTCGATGTGAACTAGGCTGGGAAGAGTTACGTCGTCGAGATTGAGATCGACGAAAGATGGAGCGGATGGAGGAGATGGTGCGTCTTGCAATGGTCGGAGGTCGGATTCGGACGTGGTCGACGATCGTCTCCGATGCAACGACACGTTGCGGAGCCATGCAGAGAACGGACGCGGGAAACGACGTCGTTTGGAAGCATGGGCGACCCCATGCGACCGAGATTGAGACAGAGATGCGATGCAGGCGGCGGCGTCGACGTCCCACAGCACTTGGACACGGATGGATTGCTCGGTGGATTGAATGTCGAACGACAGCGACGTGGTGTCGGAGTCACTCCCTGCTAGTCGTGAGTTCAAAGCCAAGGGAGCGGCGAAGCGAATGCGCACCTGCCATATACCGCACACTCTGCCCCACGAGGTCGAACGGCACGGCAATCGTGTCCATGGCCACTCGCGAAACCTGGTCTTGCTGTCGGAGAAACTGCTGGAGGTGGTCCATCGACATGACTTGTAAGAGATCGAGGCTACATTTGGAAGGATCAACAAGTTGACGAAGGCAGAACTGGTGTACCTTGGGCCGAGCTGCGGCACGAACGCGACCTAAGACACGGTGGTCAGTCCGTTCATCGACAGAACGAGACGTACGTGGTTCTTCGCCAGCGCCAACTGCGTCGATTGGAGTTCCTGGTTCATCAAGACCATGCGACAGAACAGCACCATGAGGACCACCATGAAGAAGAACGTGAGGGCGTTCGTGAGTTCCACATCGAGCGGGTGCGGCGTTGGCGCCATCGTCTGTGTATTTTAGGGGAATGATAACGTCAAATTAGGCGCAGCAAATCCGTTAAACTAGCTAGCCAATCCGATGGCCGATACATCAAACCAAAGGTTCCTGATTGGTGGAAGGAGAGATAGCAATCCTGTCAAAACACTTTACAACTCAGGTCGAATTCGTTAGCCAATCAAGCGACAGGAAATTGGAATACTGATCTGTGATTGGGTGTTGCATTACTTGACGCCGCCAAAGATGGCTTGGTCATTTGCCTTGAGCGCCGCGTCGACCCGCTGGATGTGGGCGGCGGTGGCGTGAAGGACGTCCTGTATGCTTCCCCGTGGATAGGTCTGAAGGACAGCCATATCTCTATCGTCTATCTTGGTGAAGTCCCTGACGAATTGTCGTGTTCGTCGCAGTTCGTTGTCGACGAGATCGTGCTGATGCTGCAACTTGCGAACGTACGCAGCACGTTCAGGTGGTGTTCGAAAAGCCCACCCCTGGAAACTCTGTGCTGCTACGACGTATCTAAAACGAGAGGATCATGAGTATCGCTCATCATTGTGCGTCCACTCCACCTGAGGTACTCCGGTGACGGCGATGCGGCGGACATCGTGACGGTGTCTCCAGATGACAGGAACAGCGAACAAAATTTAGCCTGCGCGTCCATCGATAAAATCGTGCGGTCACGAAACACGACACGGACACGGCCATCGCTGAACGCTCGAAACACGCCCATCTCGTTCTCCTGATCTTCGACGATCGCATGTGGTGCCATGTCGTTGTTTGGTGAAGTCGTTGGGGCGTCCTTTCTGTCGGTTGTCATGGTTTCGCACAGCCGTTTCGCACGGAGGCAAATGTCCACAACGTTGCATGCGTCGTCGAGTCGACGGAACGGCGACCGCATCGGCATCGCATCGACGGTGTAGCAATGGTCTTGGTCGCCACGGCGGTGGACGAAGAATCCACTGCGGCTGTACTCGATGGACGAGTCGTCGGCATGGACATGGACCTGCAGTCAAGGGTATCGTCATGACGTGGCAGCATGTGAGGACCGCTTACACACACAGTCCCGCGGAACGGGACGGCGATGAATGTGGCGGATTTCGTCCATTCCACTCGAACGTCATGGGGGAAGACGTTGGTGGATGCGATGGACTCGTCACACGAAACACTCCGTCGTTTGCAGAACGAATACAAGTCAGCGGGGGAAAGTGGCAGCGATGTCCTGGACGGCCGAAAGTGCGTCCAGTTGGGGCGGGCCCCGAATGCGCTGTTGGTGGGAAGAGCGGTCACGACGTAGCTGTCAGACGAAGGCGTGGGGCATGAAGGAGTTCCAAAGCAGTCCAAGGATTTGCGGCAGTCGTTCCGAGCCGCCATCGCAAGCACCAACACCTCCGCGGGATATCGAAACGCCGCTGGAACGTTGTGTGGAGTGAAGTATTGGTGCACGCGGGTGAAGAGTGCGCGTCCGGTTGTCTTGTGCTGACCAGACGAATGGTAGTCGACCGGCGCGAGGAAGGATGCGCGGAAGTAGTGAGTTGACTGGGTCATGAGTGTCACGCTGGCCATGCCATCCAACGATTGGACGCGCAGTCCGTCGGGTCGTTCCATGCGCGAAAGTTGGAACGTTCCGCGGCGCCATCGCACGGTGATCGGATGCTCGCGTGGGGAATCGCCTGCGTGCCATTGCAGCGCTGATGGCAGCAAGTGATGTTGATGAAGATAGACCGGTCGATCGACAATGTGCATGTTGCGGAATGCCAAAACGCGGCGAAGAAGCGGGATGTGCGCGGACGGAGCCGACGCACACGTGAATCGTTGGACAGACGACGCAGTCGCCAGTGTTTGCGACGACAGGTACGAGTAGCAGTGTCCTTCAGGTTCCAGAATAACGCATTCCGTGCGGCCGATGGAGGGTCGCTTGGTCATGGACGACGGGTCAGCGGCGACGTCGAAGCCTCCGATGGTGGATCCGTCCGCGAGGAGGAGCATGCATGTCGGCTCAACTCGTTCCATTGTTTGCCTTGAAAACCCAGAGGAAGGGCAATCTCCGTTCCCAAGCGTCCAATCACAATCCTTCCTTTCAAATAGAGTTATATAATTGGTCAAAATAACGGATGTGACGTGGCATGTTGCTGGATCTGGTAAACCCGCCCGTTGTAAACTTGCCAGGCTCGTTGCCAACAGCACACGCCGCAGCGAACCTGTGCAGTGTTACTTTGCGAAGATAGCGTGCATTGCCTCGTGCAACAGTACACCGTGTGAGTGCCCAGAGCTGTACGAGACGGCCAACGTGATCATCACCGCATCAAACGTACGTGAAATGGCTTGAGTATTTCTTCTTGTGTGGGTTGAATTATAAGCGTTAGCTGAGTCTTCTAGAGAGGACGATTGTGCGTCATGCTCCTTGCGTTGCACAGCACATGAAGAGAGCAGTAACGAATGTAGGTACGTTTCGTGTGTCCGTGAGTCTCCACGACGTACACGTGGTCTTTTTCGATGGGAGTTCCAGGCGGGGCTTGGCAACGTTGGTTGACCAAAGGGTCGCCACTTAGATGGCCCTTCGCCGCACTCGAGTGTTCCCTGCCGTTGGGAGCCACACACGTTGTTACCAATGGTTGCCGACGCAGACGGTCGATAGCTTTGTCAAAATTACCAACACTCTGAACACGCATTCGTGTACCCAATTTTTATTATTGTATATTCACATCAAGTATAGTATTGAATATTTCATTCAATTTTCCTCGGTGGACGCCACCCACAGCCCACGTGACATCCAAAAGTGAGGAATTCCTTCTTGGTGATGGAAACCCACCAGAAAACTTAAATCGTTTGGACAATTGTGGCTTGTATAAGAAAATTCCTCGACCGGAAAGGCCAACTCCTGATAGAACGGCCAGTTTCACATTTTCCATGGCGGCGATCACGACGTCGTACCAAGGGCTCGAGAGTCCGCGCCAAGCAGTCGCGGACGTCAAGGCCGGTGGACACCCACTGGATGCTGCTGGAGCCTTTGGCAAGTCCATCTTCGCATGGTGTAACCCCCTCGTGTCGCTGGGCAACTCGCGGCAGCTCGCACCGACTGACATTTGGGGTCTCCAGGACTGCAACAAGGTCGGCCCCCTGCTGCAGCATTACCTCGGTGTGTACGAAGCGAACAACAAGGGTCTGCTGAAGGCGTTCTTTTCTATCTACAAGTGGAAGCTCGTTTTGATCGCGATCATGCAAGCCGCGTTGACAGGATGCAACTTGTTCGGGCCGGCGTACGTGTTGCCCCAAGTGATTGCGTCAGTGGTGGCGAAAGACTGGGCCCGCGGCACGCTGCTGGCCGTCGCGTTGTACGCCGTTCAAATGTTCGGGTCGTTCCTGTCCGTGCACATGACGTTTATGAACCAAGTGATCGGGATTCAATTTACCGCGTGCCTTCGTTCGATGCTGTTCGAAAAGTCGCTCAAGCTGAGCGCCAAGTCTCGCAAGTTAAAGACCGCGGGGGATATTGCCAACTTGTTTTCGGTCGACGTCGTCAACGTGATGGCGCTTCCGTTGAACCTCAACATGGCGTGGATTGTGCCGATCGAAGTCGGCGTGACGCTGTACCTGATCGAGCGCCAAGTCGGGTGGGCGATCTGGGTCGGATTCCTCGCGCTCTTTGTGCTATTGATCTTGACGGGCGCCGTCGGTGCATTTGCCGGCAAGGCGCAGCGCCTCATTTTGACGTGCAAGGACGACCGGATGAAGGTTGTCAACGAGATCTTTGCCGCCATTCAGATCGTCAAGTTTAATGCGTGGGAAGAAAAACTCGTCGCAAAGGTCCGCGCGCTGCGCGAAAAGGAGCTGGGAGCGCTCTGGTTCTTTATCAAGACGATCTTGATCCTCATCACGTCGATGAACACAACGCCGGTCTTGATCACGGTCGTCGTGTTCGCCACGTACGCGCTGTGGATGGGCCAGCTCCTCACGGTCTCGATCGTGTTTACGACTCTCGCGCTCTTCGACAACCTCCGCGTCGCGTTCATCGCGATGCCCATGGTGTTTGTGTCAACGATTCAAGCGCTCGTGTCTGTCAAGCGGATCGACGAAGTGCTCGGGATGGACGAAGTCCACGTGGAAAACGTTGTCGGCCCGTCGACGACTGCCGTCGACAAAGACCTCGTCCAGGCGTGCGCGGCCGCCAACTCTGCCATTCACATTGCAAACGGATCGTTTGGCTGGGACAAGGAGAACCCTCTCTTTGCCAACTTGAACTGGACCGTCAAGCAAGGCGAGTTTGTTGTTGTCCACGGCGCCGTCGGTAGCGGCAAGTCGTCGCTGTGCTCGATTCTTGTCGGCGAAATGGACAAGTATGACGGGACGGTCTTTGTGAGCGGCCGCGTCGCGTACTTTACCCAGCAGTCGTGGATTCAAAACGCTAGCATCCGGGACAACATTTTGTTTGGACGGCCGTATGACCGCGTCCGGTACCAGACCGTCCTGAACGCGTGTGGCTTGACCAAAGACATTGCGTCGTTTGCGGCCAAGGACCGCACCGAGATCGGCCTGAAGGGCGTCAACTTGTCCGGCGGTCAAAAGGCCCGGGTGAGTTTGGCGCGCGCGTGCTATGCCGACGCCGACGTGTACATTTTGGATGCGCCGCTGTCGGCTGTCGACGCGATCGTGGCCAACGAGATCTTCACCAAGTGTTTCCAGACCCTGCTCAAGCACAAAACGATCGTCCTCGTGACGCACAACACCGACATCATCGAATCGACGGCCATTGACCGGTCGTTCCTGCTCGACAACGGCAAGCTGACCGAGACCACGCCGTCTGGCCATGTAAAGCGGCAAACCGGTGATGCTGAAGTCGTGCCACTGACGGGCCGACCTCAATTATGGGACGACTTGGAAGTAGTGGCTGATGCTTCTCAGGCACGGCCGCATGACTTGCTTCTCACGCCGACGGCTCAGTCGCCGTACGTGTTCCAGCACGGCGAACCGTTGGCGATCTTCACCCCCCGCGCCGGCAACGAATCTGCGCATGGCCAAGAATCGTTGACGGTCGAAGAAGAACGAGCTGAAGGCCGCGTTTCCAAGGAGGTCGTGCTGTCGTACGTACAAGCAATTGGCGGGTGGACATCCGTGGCCATCATGCTGCTCGCAACCATCGCGACGGAAGCGACGCGACTGAACGCAGACTTGTGGCTGACGGGCTGGACGGAGGAGAGCAATGCAGTCGGGGCGGCCTCCAAGTCTGTGCAACAGGTCAAGGACGACTCCAACTACAACATGATGGTGTACGCGATCTTAGTCCTGGCAACCTGTTTCGTGACGATCTTTCAGTTTGGGATCGTTCTCGGGTATGGTCTCCGTGGGTCCCGCGTCCTCTTTGAACGGATGCTGGCCGGGCTCATTGCGGCCCCCATGCGCTTTTTCGATTCGAACCCGATCGGTCGCATCCTCAACCGTTGTGGCGACGACGTGTTCCAATGCGACATCATGCTCCCCATGTCGTTTGCGCCGATTCTGGCCCAGACTGCGACTGCGTTGGCCAAGTTGGGACTGAGCGTAGCTGGTATCAAGTGGATGGCTCTGCTCCTGCCACCCCTCGGCTTTATCTACGTCAAGCTTGGTGCGTACTACCTGATGCCACTTCGCGAAGTCAACCGGATCAAAAAAGTGACGCTGTCGCCCCTCCTGAGTCTCGTCAGCGAAGGCGTCGACGGCGCCGTGGTCATTCGTGCGTTCGGCGACAAGTACCGGCGTCGGTTCTACCGCTTGCATGACGTCGCAATTGAAAACTACTCGGCGGCAACATTCACGAGCGACGCACTCAACCAGTGGTTTGCTCTGCGCGTCGCGTTTGTGTCCAACTCGATCGTGTTTTGCCTCGTGTTGGGGTTGGTCGTCATGGCGTCGTCCGTCTCGCCCGGGCTAGTTGGTCTCGTCTTTGCGTACGGACTCACGATTCCAACCAACTTGGCGCAACTCGTCAACATGTGGGCTAACCTGGAAACGGCGCTGATCTCGCCCGAACGCCTCAACGAGTACGCGATGCTCCCGATCGAAGGCGCGCGAGAGACGCCAGTGGACCAGACCGAATGGCCGGTGCACGGACGCCTCACGTACGACAACGTGAGCTTTCGGTACAAGGCCGACGACCCGCTCGTCCTCGAGAACGTAACGTTTGACGTAGCCGGTGGCGAAAAGATCGGAATCGTTGGTCGCACGGGGGCCGGCAAGTCGAGCTTGATGATGACCCTGTTCCGGATCAATGACGTAGCGTCGGGGTCGATTTCGATCGACGGTGTCGACATTGCGACCGTCGGTCTCAAGCGCCTCCGATCGTCGCTTGCGATTATTCCGCAGAACCCCGTGCTGTTCAAGGGCACGCTGCGCAACTACATGGACCCGTTCGACGAGTTTTCGGACGACCAGCTCTGGGACGCCCTCCGGAAAGTCAACCTGACGGACCGCATCCGAGTTTCGGACGACAAGCTCGAGCAGCATGTCGAAGAAAACGGCGAAAACTTTAGCGTGGGCGAACGTCAAATGCTGTGCATGGCCCGTGCGCTTCTCCGTAACGCCAAGATCGTCGTGCTGGACGAAGCCACGGCGGCCATCGATCACGCAACGGACCAGTTGTTGCAAAAGGTCATCCGTGAAGAGTTTGCGTCGTCCACGGTGCTCACGATTGCCCACCGCCTCGACACGGTCTTGGATTACCACCGTATTTTCGTGTTCGACGCTGGACGACTCGTGCAGTGCGACACCCCCGCCGCGTTGGTCAAGCAAGAACGCGGCATCTTTTACGACATGATCACTGAAGGCGGGTACACCGACCGCGTCCAAGTGTAGCCGTCGACCCGATCGGGGACGACAGACGTTCCTCGTGCCATTCGACGGAACGACCCTCGTGGGAACGTAGTTACATGTCGTTGCGATACCGGACCCCTTGTTCCGTCGATGCTGCTCTCGTTTGAGGTTGCCCAAGTGGGGTCGCCATGTTTCTTCTCGTGGTGGAAATTCATCGTCGTCATGCATTTCAACTTACTGTTAGTCCATTCTTCTTTCTAAAAATAACACGAAAAAAATGCCAACGGATCTATTTTTGGTGATTTTCTTGTCTCGGATTTAGGAAACCAGATTTGGGATCTCTCCAACATGATGGGACGGACACTTCATCCACGCGTTCACGTGATGAGACTCTTCATCGGTACAACATTTCAAAACGAATGCGCTCGTTGTTCACGATTCAAAACAGTTGATCGTATTTACTTGTCATGACCTCCCCTTCATCCGTCGAGGGCACACTCTATCGTCAGCATCCACATCAAGGAGCGTCAGGGGCGTACAGGTGCATGCTGCCCATCATCATTGCCGTCACAATTTTTTGGACAAGATATCTTGGAAAATGTACACCCATGGAAAAGAACGAAAAAATCGAAATTGACGAAATCGGAGTAGTACGATGAGTAGTAGAAGTACTACTATTACTACTACTACCCAGAAATCGATCATGACAACCCAAGCTGGTTGTTCATGGGGCAACCACCTTGGGACCGAGTCAGACGAGACAAAGCACCGGCGGCCTTTGGCCGATCACCCGCTTGGAACACTGGAAGCCACAACCAAACCCCTTCGATAGTCACTGCCTGCAGCAGAGCGTTTTCGACACATCAGCAGGGCCAGTTTCATGGAGCGGCCGGTCGCCTAGGATAGATGGTCGAGCCAAAAATACTTGAAACCTCCACAACCCTTGACCGTGAAACGACTGCGCTGGGGCGCTCGACCCAATGCCCACTTTCACTTTGGCGCCAGGGGTGAACGCAGCTCGTACGGAGACAGCGCCGCAGCGAACGGGGATGGTCCAAGCAGCAGTGGGCAGCCTCGAGGACGAGGTCGCCAACAACGTCGCCGCGAGCGATGACATCACGATCGCTGATGCGGATTTGCCGACCGTCGTGGGCAGTTCGAGCCAAGTGTGGGCCAAGGACAAGGCGCCGCCGTTTTCGACCAAACAGTACGCCATGTCTTTGGGCGGGTTCTTGTACCTGTTTGTGTCGCTCGCGTGTGGCGTGTGGTACTGCACGACGCTGCGCCCGAGTTTGGCCAACGATCTGTGGTGGTCTGGCTACAACTTGACGGGCTACGAAGCGTTCATTGTCGACTTGACCAACTCGATGTTGAGCAGCTCGCAGAGCGGTCCGTTCGACTTGCAGGCGCCAGGGTCCGTCGTCGAGAAAAAGTACACGTCGAGCGTATCCACGACGACGGTGTACCCGACATACGTGCACCACTTGATTTGGAACGAACTCACGCAAATGGAGTACGCGATCGCCAACCTCCGCAACCTCAGCGCGAGCTGGAGCATGCGCGTGAATACGCAGCACTGCTGGGTCGACTTTGACAAGAACTTTGAGATGGCGCACACGGTCGAGCGCCAGGCGCGGTGCAATACTCGCTACGTAACGAATGCCGCCGTGTACATGGAAGCCATTCTCCGAAACGTTGTGTGGAAGGAATACATGGCCAAGTGGGGCGGGCCAAACTCGCAGTTCGACGTGGCCGTGCAGCAGGCTCTGGACGAGCGCGAAGCGGGGCGCCGATGGCTCGACTCGACGTCCAAGGCGCGCGACATGACGTCCCAGGCCAACGAGCTCGAGTACTGGAAATCGTACCACCTGACCGAGTTCAAGCTCCAGTTTCAGAACCGGTGGCAAGCCGGGATCACAGAGACCATCGTGGTCAAGAACGCGCTGGGGATGGCGCAAAAGGTCACGGTCAAGGACGTGAGCCGCGGCGCTGGCCCGTGGACGACGGTCGAGTTTTTTTGGATCCCCCTCAACGACTTGTGGATGTTCAAGGGGTACAATCGGAGCGTCATTCGCGGCTCGTCCAACTATTACCTCCTCAACATTTCAAGCGATCGGCCACCGATCGACGTGTCGGTCGACATGGCCGTGGCTGACCCCGACGGCACGTATCCTGGCGCGCAAGGCTTGGTGCGGTTTGGTTTGGGCCAGTTCTTTGCCATCGACATGTTTATCCTGGCGCAGCCCGCCGCGCTGCTCACGTACTACCATGCGTTCCAAACGTTCTTGTACAAGCAGCTCAAGGCCGACCCGGACACGTTTGTCAAGTACAATGCGCTGGCGAAACTCAGCGTCGACCCGGTCCCGCCGACCTGGTCCTCGGCCGGCTACCGGTTCCATGGAGGGAATCCGCTCTGTCGGACGGGGGACCCCAAGCCGTTTGTCCAGCAGTCGTGGGACATGGACGACGGCTGCAGCGCGCAGAATCGGCTCGTCGTTCCGCTGGCCAAGAACGCGCTGCTCTTTGCGCTGGCGTCGCAGGACTACACGACGTTGCCCACTGCGTCGGTGTGTGCGCTGCAGTCGTCCGCAGAGTGCGCCGCGGCCATCGACGCGGCAAAGGCAGTCCTGGCCAAACTTGGCACGTTTCCAGACGAGTTTGACCAACTCCGGACGGCGGCGGCGGCATCCGTGGCCGCCTTGAACGTCGGGCTGATGCAATTTGCCTCGATGACCAACGGAACGTGGAAACACTTGACGCAGCCCATGTTGTCCGAGCCGGCATGGAACGTCTACGGGTGGATGTTTCTCTTCGACTGGGTCGAAGGCAAGCGCGAAGTCTTGTCTTTCGAGGGCGACGTGTCGACGTGGGTGCTCATGTCCAACGCGTACGCTGGCGTCCCGTACTCGACAAGCGGCCGCGGGCTCGAGCAAGCCACGCAAATTGTGTTTTACTTGGTCGCGGCCACGTCGGCCCTCGTGTGCTGGGTCGCGTTCCTGTGCACGTTGTACGGCATCTTGATACGGTTCCAGGTCCATGGCCAGAATTTGTTGCAGTTCAATCGGGTCGCCGGCTCGGTCTGGATCGGGCGCCCTCTGACCTTCCTCCGAGGTTTCACGGCCGTGATTGTCCTGAGCACGTCCCAACTGAACCTCGTGCTCGTCAACGGGTACTCCAAGTTTGACTTTGCGCCGCGGCATTGGCTCGCGACGCTCATCATTACGGGCGAAGCCACGTGGCTCACGTACGCCGCCAATGACATCTTGCTCCTCATGGCGCAGGACACGACCGCGCTGTACGCGCCAGTGAGTTCGTGTTTCGTGTGGCTCATCTACTTTATTCTGGAACTGTCGTCGCCCGTCATGCCATCGGCCACCATCAACCGCGAATGCCATGCCCAAGACGTCGACTACAACATCTTTTGCAACTCGGGGGAACTCGAGATCGGGAGCTTGCGTCGGGTCGGTGTCCTCTTGATCATTCAAGCCGTCGTCATCGCCGCGACCTTTGTCGGCGGATGGTTGTGCAAGTGGTCATGCAAAAAGTGGGTGCGGTCGCCCGGCCAACGCAACCTGCTCGTGTCCGGGCCGGCCAACTGCTTCATTCAGTCGTACACGGACGCGTCGTCGGGGATGTGGACGGTGGACAAAGTGTCGGGTGTGCTCTGCGGCCTCGTTCCGTTTTCGTTTCGCGGGAAAAACTACACGTTTGATCTGAAGCTGTGGATCGTGCTCCAAGATCCAGACGGCCCCACCGGTCGGTTCAAGGCGCTGCCAAACCCAGTGCTGAGCTTTGAAAAGGCCCAAAGTCGCCACAGCATCCACGCGACGACCGCCGCGGTGGCCACGAAAGACGGCCCATCCGACACCACCACGCGCGAGTTGACGTGGAAAGATCGTGCTAGACTGTATGCCACTCGAGTCGCGGGGATTTGCACGGTCGCGGGGTCCGTTGCCGGCAGTGTCTCGTACTTGGAAGTGTCCAAAGTAAACTTGGCCAACGACGCGTGCTGGGCGTACTTTAACCTCACGGGGGGCCACGGGTTCATCGGCAACTGGCTCAACGAGCAGCTCCTTCTCGGCCTCAACCACGAAGACGTGCTCTTTGACTCGACCTACATCAACCAGCTCGGGTCGTTTGACAAACCGTCGGCGTACATTGCGAGCTCGATGAACTACGGGTCGTACATGCAATACAGCGAGGTCAACACGATCGAGCACAACGTGCCGGGGCTGCGCCGAACGGACGCGTGCAAGGCGCCGTGGATCTTTACGCAGTACTGCTACGTCGACTTTGACAAGACGTGGGAAATGGCCAACAGTGCGGCGCGCCAAGCGCGGTGCCAAGCGTCGATGGCGGCGAACGGCGCCGTGTATTTGGACTCGATCTTGCGTAACGTGGACTGGGACGCGTGGACGAGTTGCTGGGGCGATGCGTTCGAGACGGCGTTTGCCGTCGAGCTGCGCAAGACTCTGGCGGGGATAGCGTACTTGCAGTCGATTGCGACGTCGCGATTGTCCGTGGAAGACGAAATCGCGTACTGGAAGGCCAAAGGCATCACGAGCTACACGGTGCAGTGGCAAAACTACAAGCGCGTTGGGCTCATCAACAAGTACACGCTGCAGAACGCGTACGGCGGCAAGTACCCGCTGACGCTGCAAGCGCAGAACGGCACGCTGCGCATGGCCAAGCAAACCATGTTCAAAATGTACTGGTCGTTCGCCAACGACCTGGCGGCTATCACACGACCCAACAGCGGCATGACCGGCAAGAGCTTGATCCGATCGTCGGTTGACTTTGCATTTGCCACGACCACGATGGAGCAGGTACTCATGGCGAACGAGTTGCTCAAGCCAACGTTGTCCGTGGGATTCAACCTGACCAAGCAAATCATCGGGCCATTCGGCAGCGTCGACTTGATGTACGTCCCGGTGCCAGCATCGGCCAAGGTAGCTGTCCGAGCCATTCTCAATGGACTGCGCACAGTCATCGCACCTGCACCGAGCGCTGCCGATGCCTCCACCGTCGCCGCCATCAACGCGACGCAGATTGCGTACGCAGCGATTAAACCCGTGGACATGCTATCGCCGATCCCTCCGCAATGGCTTGCTGCGTACGCCACGTCGAACGGCGGGAACCCCCTGTGCGAAGAGATGTCTGTGGCGAACGCGATGTCGTCCAACATGGCGCCGCTGCTGTCGTTCGACAACGAGTGCTCCAACACGGCGGTCGCGGTCAAGACATTTCCAACCCGCGAGAGCATGATCACCGCCGTCATCCTCGCTGGGCTCCCGACCATGCCAACGTACAACGCGACGGACATTTGCAGCAACGATCCAGGGCACATCAAGCAGTGCCCAGAATTCATCGACAAGAACGTGGCGTTTGTAAAACAGTTTATGCCGCAAGCGCCGTCATGGGCGCCGCTCGTCGCCACGGCCAAGGCCGACATGGTCGCCCTCGACATTCAACTGTTCCAATACGCCAGGCAGACGTCGACCGCGCCCCTCCACGTCTTGCACGTCAATATCCTCGACCCGATCATGCCCACATTTGAACCGTTTGCGTGGTCGTTCCTGTACGAGTGGTTCGTCGGCCACCGCACCGTCGTCCAACTCCACGGCGACGTCGGCAGCCTCACCGTTCTGTCGGACCTCGAGCCACCGTTGTATCAGCAAGTCCAGCCGTGGGAGCTCCCGGCAAACTACGCCACGTACGCCCGCGGCGGCGTGCTGTACGTGACGTTCATCATGATTGCTGTCGCGGTGTTTGTCCTCGTGTACATTGTCGTCAGTCGCGGCCACTTTGAAGGGCTCAACATGATGGAACTGGCCCGTGTCGGCGGGATTGTCTGGGTCGGGCGGCCGCTGTTGTTGCTCCGCAGTGCCACGGCCATCGCGCTGCTGTCGACGGGCACACTGGAACTCCAGTTTGACGGCATGTTTTCGTCCTTTCAAAGCGTCCAAATGCCATGGTACAAGACGTTGCTGGGGGCGATGGAGCTCACCTGGCTCGTCTCGATTGTAAACGACGTGTCGATGGTCGTGACCCAAGAGTACACGACGTACTACGTCATGGTCAACAGCCTCGTCGTGTGGATCGTCGCGTCGGCCGTGACGGCGGCGCACCCCGTGACCCACACGGCCTCGTTCGACCGGGTCTGCCAAGTCGACGATGTTGACTTTCAAGTTGTGTGCAGCTCAGGGCAGTTTATGATCGGGCAGTGGCAGCGCGCGCTGTTGCTCGTGGGCATCGTGCTAGTGTCCAACTTTTCAACGTACTGGCTGGTCCGACTCGTGATGCGGACAAAGCCAGTATGCGACGCGAATTCGCTCTTCTTGTCGTCGGGGGCCAAGTACTTGTTTAGCCACGACGCGCGCGTCCACAACCAAGTGTACTACCTGGACCGGGCGTCGGCCATCATGTGCGGCATCGTCACGCTGCGCTGGCGCCGCACGATCTTTGCGATGGATTTGAAAATCTGGCGCATCTTTGCCATTGAGCTCCCGCACGCGTTCGACATCCCACCCAACACACCGCTCGCGGCCGCTGCGTCCCATGCATTTCCGCTCACGGACTAGGCGCACGGTCGCTATTCTATCGTCGTCGTACATATATACATATAGATACATAACATGCATGGACCTCCAAGCGGCCGAGGGTGCCGCCCTAGTGTCCCCGTCGCGACAGTGCTGAGGCTACCAAAGCGTCTGCATGCACGACGGCGCAAACGTCCAGCCAAGTCACCATAAGCGGCAGCAGTGGTTGTCTTGCTTCGAGGATTCGCGACGTGGCCGGCAGCAACAGGGCAATGTCTCGCGGGATGACAGGGTAATGGATAGTCTTTGGCTTACCGCCCTCGGTCGTTCATGTTCTCATGGATGTGCTCCAAGCATGCGACATCGCCTGCTTCAGTCGTTGCGCAACTAACGAGTCATATTGGCATCCGTACATTCGTCGAGGGGATGCAGCCGCGCGGCATCCGTCACACGCTTGCGATCTGGTGCGCAGTGTGTTTGCATGGTCGTAGGTGTCGTTCGTTCGACTCCGTCCGTCCATCTGGGAACGACGGTACCCGCTGCAAAACGTCGTTCGCGCAGCTTCCCCGCGCGGTAGCATGAGAGTGAGGCTGTCCTGGCGTCCCTGTGCACAAATCTGCATCGGTTTCAACATGGACAAAATATTTTTCGAATATGCAAATGTCTCGATTTAGCAATACTAGTATATATTTGTACAATCGAGCGAGGACGGCCGTCGCAAGGGACCCCTGCCGCGGACGACCGCGCGCGATGCCACGTGGATGGGCTTGATCCCTTCCTTCACTTGGCGAGAGGGACGGTGACAACCTGTTCGAGCTTTCCGCAGGTGGCGGGCCAAGCGAAACCATGCCAACGACATCATAAATTTTATTCGGGTGTGGTCGAAACTACTTACTACGCCCCCACGATCGCGGAGTTGGTCCAAAGATGCTTAGACCTTGTTCATGGACGCGACATCTACACTTTGCACGTAGTCTTCGAACGCTTCAATGGCTTCCGTGATGTCGTCCAACAACACGAGGTCGTCCACGATGATGCACTGAATGAGCAACTTCTTGATGCCGAACGCGACAGGAACCAACTTGTGGCCTTCGCCCCAGTTCAACCCGTTAATTTCAAGGGCCTTGATCTTGCCGGCCAATTCCACCAAGTCGGTTTCGGCTTCCCAAGGCTTGACCTCGAGAACAACTTGCGATCGTTCGACGGGCTTGGCCTTTTCCTTCTTGCCGGCCTTGGCCGCTTCAGCACGCTTCTTGGCGGCTTCCTTCGCGGCAGCTTCAGCTTCTTCGTCATCGTCGTCGTCACCAAAGAGATCGTCGTCATCGTCGTCGGCAGCAGGCTTCTTGCCCTTGGGGGTCGACGCCTTTGGGGTGGAGGGCTTCGCAGCAGCCTTCGGGGTGGAAGGCTTGGCAGCGCTGGGGGTGCGGGCGGCAAGAGCGACACGGAGGCCCAACTTGGACGCGATGTGAATGTACCAACGGTAAACGTTCGGGACCTTGGCGGCGTCGGGGACTGCGTTGAACTTGGCAAAGAGGGCGCTATCGGCAGCCGAGAACTGGAAGCCTTCGATGTACGACTTGGCGGTCAAGAAGCCGTTCAGCTTCTTCAAGCCCACTTCGGATTCAACGTCGTTGAAGGACATGGTGGAGCGCGGCGTGTGGTGCGGCGAGTCAATTGCACAATGGCGCGTGGATGGGGTGAAATTTCGTTGTAATTTTAATACTTAGCAACGACCATTCTTTCGCATTCGCAATTCGCATATGTAATTTTGTAGCAGGCCTCGCCACAAATAAAATAAAACGCCACCACATTCCATGCAATGGCTGGCCACAGATACCCCACCCGCTCCCGAGCCCTAATTCACCTGCTGGCCGATTCCGGATACGGTATCCGGATTCCACAGATTCAGAGATCGGGATGTCGGGGCGACTGGGGCCGCCTGGGGCGGACTTTGCGCACTTGCAGCAGGTACATGCGCAGTTTGCGATGGATGCATACTGTTGTGCGTGTGGAGGAAATGATGGTTGGAACGTTGTAGGACAATGCTGAGATTGAACGGTCAATGCTTGCGCAAGAAGTAGAAGCGCTGCGATCACGACTAGGCCTCCGGCAAGTGGACGTGTCCAAGGAATGTGGCGTCAACGCGTCGATGCTGTCGCAATGGATGCTTGGACGATACAAAGGGAACATTGCGCGAATCAATGGGTTGATGGAAAGCTGGCTTGTCAACCGCCGCGGTGGCAAACCACTTGACAAATCCGCCATGGTCCTTCAAGCGCCACTTCGCGTGCCTACCGCCGGGGATGGCATGGACGGATTCCATCACCTCTCGAAGCGGTGCATTCCATGTTCATGAATGTGTTCCTGACGTGCTCATGCGCAGGAAGCCACTCGTCCACCTTGCCGAACGTCCGCTGTACAAGTACCCCAAGGTCAGTCCGATGCATGCACCTTCCTCGGCCCCTGACATCCTCCAGATCACGCACAATAGGTCGTCCCTTGTGCCGATACGACTGGATGTGGATGTCGATGGCTACCGATATATCGATTCGTTTGCGTACAACATGTACGTCGTCCTTCATGGTCACCCCATGGAACGCTCTCATCGTGCCCGCCTAGCCACGAGAGTGACTTCACCTACGAAACGTTTTCAGCTTCGCTGATCCGAGATCTCGACTTGCCCGATTGCTTCTACGTACCGATTGCAAACGCGATCCGGCAGCAGGTGGACGCGGCAGTCCCGCTCCTCGCGGAGCCAAAAGCCACGGACCCTTCAACGTCATCGCTCGTTCCCATCCACATCAAACTGCGGCTACACGATACGATTGTGCTCGACTCGTTTGAGTGGGATGTCTCCAACCCATCCAACAGCCCCGAGCACTTTGCCGCGACGTTTTGCGCCGACATGGGCCTAGACGACGGCGAGTTTCAAGTCCAAATCGCGCTCTCCATTCGAGACCAACTGCTTGCGTATGCAAAGGTATGCACATCGTGGCACAGGGCAAACGCGGCGGAAAAAAGAGTAAGTTGGAATGGTGTTGTAGAAGGCGGAAGCACAGCCTCCCCAAACCCGGAACCCGTCCGTTGTGCCGCCCCATCCTCTCCGCGATTTTGACGAGGCCAAGCAGTGGGAGCCCAAAGTTCGCTATGTTGTCGCAGATGACATTGCCGTCCTCGAGCGCGAAGTACGTTGTACGACCTGTTCTCCTGCAAGTGGGTGGGTGTCGCGATGGCGGCAATTGTCATGCGGCCGTGCGCATGCTGAGCGCGGTCTATCTCCGTGAAAGGATGGTGAGTTCATGATCTGGCATAGGATTTCAAGCGCATGCGGCCGACGTCGTCGATGCCCGCGCCACTGCAGCCGTCCGTGATGCCCTACTTCCCCGTGCGAACTGCATCCATGTTTGCACACACTCCAAGTTTCCCAGGCGGCACGACGGGGGCCATAGTGACCAACAAGCCGAATCGCCCGCCCAAGCCCGTCAACACATTCCTCATCTTTTGCAGGTGCAGATAGCCCGCGGCAGTGGCATGGCCATGTCTAAGTGTAGGCGTAGGCAATGGCGAAAGAAGCTAATGGCGCAAAACCCCACAGCGAGCGCCAAGGAAGCATCCAGGCTCTTGGGAGAGATGTGGCAAAAGCTCACGGAAGAGCAGCGCGCGAGGTATGTGTTCAAAGTTGTCGCTTCGAGGAGTTGACCACGGTGGTGCAGCTACCAGCCCTTAGCCGACAAGGAAAATGCCCAGCGCATGGCCGAGTGGAAGCTCAAGGAGAAGAACGCGGGGATGACGACAGCCCAGCCCATGTCGGATGCAAGCAAGACGCCTGCAACTTCTGATGCGGCACAGGCGGGCATCGCGGCCGACGACGACGACGAGCTGGACATGGACGACGAAGATGGAGACTCAGAGGAAGACGAAGAATAAAGTTATTACTTGGTGTGTGCGGCGCCATCTATGGAAGGACAGTGGGTTCGGTGGCTGTCGTCGCTCCGGTGGGGGCGTTACGCCACTTGCTCTGCGCGTAATGATTCTCCAATTCGAACAAGGCGGCCGCGACGTCCGAGCACAAGTGTTCAATGGACGTGTCGACGTCATCGCACTTCTCCTTGAGGGACTCGTATGTCGCGTCCACCTGCTGGTTGATGCCTTCGAAATCGTTGAGTGTCAGGGACAGCTTGAGTTCCGCGATCAGTTTCAACAGCGACTCCCCTGCATGGACTAACGTCGTCGCATACACGGAGCTCTGTAGCGCTTGTCTCGACGTCTGCGTCCGGTCCTTGATTTTGCTCACCGTGACCAGGCCACGGTAATTCTCGATCAGCGACTCGACGTTGTTGTCCAAGCGGCGGCGGAAGTCTTCCGCCATCGGTAAATCCACGATGCAATACAGTATCCGGAAAACCGGATACAAGGAATGCTTGTCTTCGTGCCCCCATCGGATTGGCTGAAATGTTGGGCAAATTCTTTCATTCGTGAAAGATCATCGAGCGGACGCCGCCGGTGCCGCCAAGATGAACGATCCGCTGGAATGGTATCATGAGATACCGGTCATCAGTCGCCTGTACCTGACCGGAGCCTTTCTCACAACGGTGGCATGCGCGCTGGAGCTGATCTCGCCGTTCTCCCTCTATTTCAACTTCAACTTGATCTTTTACCGCGGCCAAGTGTGGCGACTTGTCACCAACTTCCTCTTCTTTGGGCTCTTCAGCCTCGACTATATCTTTCACATGTACTTCCTGTACGTACTATGTCATGGTATATGTCGGTCTCATCCGTTGGCGTAGCGTGCGATACTCGCGAATGCTCGAAGAAGGGTCCTTCCGTGGTCGCACCGCTGATTTCCTCTACATGCTTCTCCTCGGCGCCGTGTCCATGATTGTAAGCCACCTATCTGATGTCGAGTTTCATGTCGTGTATACGTAGCTTGTTGCGCCATTCGTGAGTGTGCATTTCCTCGGCTCATCCTTGACGTTCATGATGGTGTACGTGTGGGGGCGACGTAACGAGCACACGCGGTTAAGCTTCCTGGGACTGTTTCCTTTCACCGCGCCGTATTTGCCGTGGGTACTGCTTCTCTTCTCCATGGTCCTCGGCAACAGCGCCACGATTGACTTGATCGGGATTGTCGTCGGGCACGTGTACTACTTCTTTGAAGGTCTGCTCCAATTCTCAAACTCCGTGTGATGGCGTCGTGTCTAGATGTGTACCCTGCGATTGCGGACATTCGCGGCTGGCGCGTGCGGCGCATCCTGGAAACGCCAACTTTTGTCAAGTTTCTATGCAACCCCCATGCGTACACTGCCGCTGCAGCTCCCATCGTCAACGACATCCCAGTTGCCGACCATCCTGCTGAATTCCATCCCCATGCAGATTAAAGTTTCCGGTTCAGATGATTGTGATTGGATAAAATGAATAATATACTCGTCTTTGATTCGTCCAGCTGGTGGAAACTTCATGCGCAGGCAACTCCTACACGAAGCGTCTGTCGCCGGAAGCATCGCTCAAGTGGACGCCTACCTCCGTCAGCCGCAGGCATCCATCAACGACACCCTCGGTGATAAATGGACTGCGCTGCACCATGCCGTGCAGCACGGACACTTGGACCTCTTTCGTTACTTGATCACCTTACCTGACATCGACTTGGACGCCAAGACCTTGTACAGGGCGAACTGACTCCAGGACTCCTTCCAAACTGATCGATCGCATGTTGCTAGAGCTGGAACGTCACCTCTCGCACTGTCGATATGTCGCCACAATCTCACTATGATCGAGGCGTTGGTGGACGCAGGCGCTAGGAAAGACAGCATCGGTCCGATTCCATGCTGCAGCTTCGGCAAACCTCACCTTCCTTTTTCTGTAGTCTGCTTGTATAAAGACGGAAGTAGTAGGGATAGACGTATACCGAGTCGACTGCTCCACAAGCTATCGCCGCAGTGGTCCCCCATCTGGACCCCCATGCTCCACCGGCGGCTTCCTCGACTGCAGCGCAAAGTGATCTACACCCTCCTCCTTGTCAACAATGCGTGCCATCGAAGACGCAGTTGGCGCGAATGGCTTCGCAAGCTTGACGTTTTGGCGATTTGGCCAGCGACGCCGTACCTTCCTCCGTGTTCGTGGCGCTATCTGCCGCTGCCGATCCTCCATCTCGTGTTTGAGTTCTACGCATGGATCGATTGACTACACAAATTCATGCGGTTCAGCCGCATGATTCGATCGCGTGCCGTAGCCAAGTCGTCATTGAGTGGATTACGAAGTAAAGTACACTCCCTTCTTGAAGCATCCCATGCATAATCTGTGTCGAAGCTTCTTGTCGCCGCAGTGTTCGCAGTCCTGCAAATGCACTATATTCTTGAGTCGCTTGGACGGGTCGTTGTTGCGGATGCGCTTGCGCGACCGTGTGACCTTGGACTTGGGGCACGCATGCCACAACGCATCATCGTCAGCATCTTCAACGGATTCTTCAGGGAGATGCACACCGGGAAGCACTTCGAGCTGCACTTGGGGAAAGAAGCTCCATTGCGGCGGCTGCAGCATGCGGCGCACGCTCGACACCAGTCGCACCAACGCCATCCTTGGAGATTTAAGCACTGACGTGCCAGTCAATAAAATGCAAGCGTGGGATTGGACGAAATCAAATTATCCGGATTTTTGGCGAATTGCCGGATAATCCGGCTGGAGCAAGTGCCAAAGATGCGGCGGTGGTCGAGACGATATCGCTTTTACGTTGATGGCGGCACCTTGCAATGCATTCAGCTGCATCGGTTGGGCGGATAAAGCATTCCCACGCCCCGCCAGATTGTTGACGTTGTGTGTCTTTGTCACACATTCTAACGCTGAATGCGCACTTCCCGGCAAGGTAGATTGCAGTGCAGGATAGAATGCAGTCGAAGGAATGGACGACGCAGCGGTAGTGCTTTCCTATACGTGTCTTTCAAGCTTGTGAAGTCTTTGCATGCAATAGCATGAAGCGGCACGTTATGATAGCTCAAGGCGAGTTAGAACGGCTCACATCGAACCCATCCAGAGGATTGGAAGTTCTTGAGTCCCAAGTTGCCTCGCAGAATCGGTTTGAGTTCGCACCGCTTGGACGCAATCAGGCTGTAGTATACACGCGCGGTCTCGCCAGTATTCAGCTGCAGGAACACCTACAAACGCGGTTTGAATTTGAAGGGAGGTGGCGTCTCGTACGGCATCGTTGGATAGGGCTTGGATGACGCCAATGTACTCTCGTTGCATCACGTTGGACGAAACGACGACTTCATCGCCTTCGTCGAACATGTACTTGCCGCACTCCAGGACCCCGCCATGGAGCTGGATCTCGACTTCGGAATGGTGAGCTCTCATGAAGAGGAGCATCTGAGGAGCGTACCAGTCTCCAGTGGAAACGGATCGTCGTGGTGGGGACTCGTTGGCTGGGCTGGTATCGCCGCTTTCCAGTCGGAGCAGACTGCTGCCAAGTCGTCGAGGATGTCGGCTTGCGGCAGCGGGTCCATGTTTTTGCATGGGAGGTCCTTGCACCCAAGGACTCGGGATTTCATTTTTGTCGCAAATGGCCCTGCACCACCATCGTCATTTCTTCCGTTTAGACCACGCACAGGTCACCCACCTGACATGTCGAGGGTATCAAAGGCTAGCTTGGGCTTCTTTCCTCGGGGCTCGGCGTCGTCTGCGCTGTGGTCTAAATCCTCTTCAACGCAGGCCTCCCTGGAAGTATTGTCGGCTGAGATGGCGAGCTCCGGTGCTTCTATGTCGGCCTTGTCCAAGGTCTCGAGCTGTTTGTCGACGGCGCTCAACATGGACGACACCTTGGCCATAAGGACTTGCTTTAAATGAGCTTTCGCAGTGGCGTACACATTGTTCGCTGTCTGGAGGTCACACATCCGCAGATCCTCGACGTTCTTTAACTGCAATTCCTTGTGCTGTTTAGCTGTCTCCAGCGACCGAGACCGTTCGTCCTTGAAATCGACGCATCGCCGACAGTACTCAGCGAACTTCCCATCTTCGATCATCTGAACCTTCGTCTTGAGCTCCAACATGCGCTCCTTGAACTCGATAGCTGCTTCCAATGCTTCACCCTCGACCTTTTCCTGCTTCAACTCGGCGTCAGCGTCGTCCACGTGAGCGCTCAGCGCCTGCAACAACGTGTACGACGTCAATTCCTTGTCGCTGTCCGCTTCATCGTCCGAATCCGATTCGGACACTGCCGTGCCGTCGCCCTGGTCTTTATCCTGCTGCTGCAACAACGACCGAGATCTTGGCTGCGGCGGCGACCGCAATATGCTGTTGTTGTTCGTGCTGTCGTTGTCGCCATCTTTGGCACCTCCATTGGCTCGTGCTTTCCTGCGACGCTGCGCTCGTTGCCGCGTTGACTTGTCCATGTGCTCTGTTGTCCTACGGGCGCAACTCCTCCGTAGTGTGTGCTCCTGGCAGTGTTTGAGGCGTTTTGCCACCCACGACACGTTGTATTAAATTTCACAATTCACGTTTTATTTTGTTTCAGAGACGTCTCAAATTTCCATGCCATTTCGAATTTACGCGCGAGGAAAACAGTGGAATGGAGGCGGCGACGACAGGACGAACTGCGACGCCTCGTTTGGAGTGACAAGTGAAGATGGGATGGAATTAGGTTGGTCTTAGTTCACTCGATGACGTTGAGGGTACCTCGGAATGGTTGATCTCTCGCACACCTAGAACCGATCGGCCGACGTAGCACCGCTGAAAGGCGCGACGGGAAGCCACCTGACGGTCGATCGATCCAATTTGAGGTCCTCCGGTTCTATCCAGCTATACTATTGTACAATTTGGAGGTCGGCAACAAGCACACCAGATCATGTGCCTTGTGCGGGGATGTCCTTGGAAGAAAACACGCAGTACAAAGCGACCTCGCCTTCACCTTCGCAATCCAACACTCAACCAGGTTCAATCCGTCTTCATCTTGAGGGTTGCTTTATACTTAGTTGAAGCCGAACATGCTGGCCAACGGCACGTCAGCTTGCTCCTTCGCGAACGATTCGTAGTACTGATAGATGATGGTGACGGCCAGCAAAATACCCGTGCCCGAACCAATCGCACCCAACAAATCGGCGACCAAAGAGAGAGCGCCAATGCACATACCACCAAAGGCGGCTGCTGTGGGAATGTACTTGTTCAAGACGTGCACAATCGAGGCATCGCGGTGACCCTTCATGACCATTTGTTGGTCGCGCAATTGTTTGGCCACATCACGGGACGACGAGCCTGAGATTTCAATCCACGTTTTGGAAAACATGGCGCACGACCCCAAAATGAAGATCACGTAGATCACAAAGCGCAGGGGGTCGTACAGGATTTGCGCCGCCGACTGAGGGGCAGACATGTAGTATGCCAACCCGCCGACAGGAATCGACTGTCCGCCGCCGCCTTCCACGTCTTGCCACGTGCCCAAAATTCGGACAAGGATGAACCCACCGAAACGCTTATAGAGCAATTGCGACACAAAGTACAAGTTGGACACAAGAGCGGTTTGCAAAATGATGGGCATGTTGGACGTGTAAAAGAGCTTGATGGGGAACGTGCCCTGCTGGCCGCGGTACTTTTGGTACTTGACGGGGAGATCGACACGGAAGCCTTGGAAGTAAATCACGACGAAGAAGACCAGCAACGTAGCAAACAAGTTGGTCAAGTTGGGTAAGTTTTGGCGGTAGAACGCTTCCTTCAACGCGCGGGCCTTGTCCGAGCGCGTGATAAGCAAGTGGAAGAGGGCGATGATGGCGCCTTCAAATTCAGTACCGCGACCCGTGTTGATGGTGGTAGGGCTGAACGCCTTCCAAACAATACTTTCGCAGATGTTTGTGGCGATGAACAGCGAGATACCCGACCCAAGACCGTAGCCCTTTTGCAGCAATTCGTCCAAAATGATGATCAAGATCCCGGCAAAAAAGAGTTGGATGATGATCAAGATGGCGTTCCCGGCACCGATTTCACCAATGTCACCGTACATGCCCGAAGCAACGTACGCAATGGCTTGACCGACGGTGATGAGAATCCCAAACAGCTTCGTCGCACCGCTGAACAACGCGCGATCTTCCTTCAAACTTTGGTCGACCTCAATCATCTTCAATCCGGACAGCATTTGCATGACCAAGCCGGACGTGACAATCGGACTGATACCCAATTCCATCAACGTGCCGCGGTTCGATGCCAAGATAACACGCATCCAGTAGAGCGGATCACTCGATCTCGACATTTGAATGCCGTACAGCGGGATTTGACAGCACACCAAAAAGATGAAGAGCACGATGACGGACCAGAGGACCTTTTCACGGAACGGGATTTTACGGTCAGGCTGCGCCACTTCGGGCAGCACGCACATGACTGGGCGGATCAAGTGCAGGAAGCGCATGTTGCTGGCCACACTGCAAAAGAAAGAATGGATCTACCTGGCGAGTATACGTGATAAAATATCGGAATTTAATTACGCCACGAATCAACTCGAACTTTGTATGCCATGCCTCCTTTCCAATCGGCAATTTGGAACAAATCGATATTATTTTTCGATAGTGATACAAAGATCAAGTGTCGTCGGAATATTAATTCCAACGTGTACCTCGAATTGTGCGGCTGTCGCCATCGCAGGTGACGTGGCGCCAACTCACTGCAGTTCACTATGCTCGTGAAAACGAAGCTTGATTGGCTGAGCTATAGTTTTATTAGCCAATCATTGAAAAATCCTCTAATCGCAACTCGACGAAGAAGGACACTGCAGACGGACCTGCGAGAAGAGAATGCTGCGTCCGTGAATGGAGATGCTGTCGTCTAGAAACATGAGATATAGGGCGCGTGTGCCTTTGAAGATGGATCCGCAGTGGTTCAGAAAGTATGCAGGTCCCGCTGAGTCGGTGTTGCGGTGGCGTATGTCACAAACGTGCAGTCGCAATGATGGTGGGGCAAGGCGACAGTCACTTGGCGACGCACGTCTATCTCTCATCCCGCTGCATTGCGGAGTACTGTGGTCATGCCGCAGTGTAGTGAGGACTGCCTCGGGCGAGACTACCGTCACGCAAGTCGATGCACCATGATGATGTCCGTTGCCACCACACCTCCATCACGTCATGAGAACACGCGCGTCCATGCAGGTCTGGCAATCCGTGTGATGGTGTTTGCGGCTGTCGTTACAATTGAAACCGAGAGGAAGCTCCCGTTTCGGGTGAAACGTGCACGCTTCGATGCACGCGGCAGCATGCAGCAGCAATTGATCGATGGGTTCATCATCGACCACCTCGAATCGACGTCGTCGCGCCCGGCCAAGGGCGGCGCACCCACATCCCTCCACCACGTCACGTACGACGCTTGCGGTCGCAAAGTGATCACGTTGGCCGCAGAGTCGGGAGGAAAGAAACCATCCACCCGCGTCGTGCACAGCCCACGCCGAGGCAAACACCCGATCGTCTTACCGAGTCATGCAAAGCGCCTCATGCAGTCGGCATGTGCCGACCTTCGACTCGTCGACATCGACGAAGATAGGTCGCCGAGGCGGCTCATCCACACTGCGCCGTCGCCGCGATCCAGTCGATCGGACGCGGCCTCGAGGTCGCCGCGACCCATGTCAGTGCATGGAAGCAGCCGCCGCGATCAGCAAGTCGACCAACCGCCTCCCGTGTTTCCAGCGATCCCCACAAGTCCACAGAGCAGCCCCCGGCATCGACGGGTGCTCCGGAGCGAAGCCGTCTTGGACGAGACATTGCAAAGCCCATTGAAACCTCCCCTCGACGCGTGGGGGATTCCTCGCCAACACATTCTTGAGTTCATTCGGCTCTCCGTGCTACCGTGTACATGGGCCACGTAACGTGCTAATTTTCTCGCCAGTGAAACAACGGGGCTCACATTCATCCTGCTAGGAACATCAAGTCGATGGGGGAATGGCGGGCTGCCGACGACAACGGCGCAGACGACTCGCGGCCACACGCATCGCACCCCCGTCACAACGCGACGAACGGGGGGCAGTCGCCTGGAAAAGACCTCAAGCACTCGTACTTGATCTTGGTATCTGGGGGACACATCTTGACGCTGGTGGTGGTAGCCCCATGGGACAAGTGCACTTGCCCACCCTCGCCGACGCGCGCGACCACCACCAACAGCAGCAGCAGCACGACAGCACGGGTCGAAACGACGGCGGCGCGAGTCGCAAGCCGCCACCGCCAGCGCTGTACAAGAAGGCGGCGCGCCCGACGGCTTCACCTGCTTTGCCCGTGATCACATCACGAGACATGACGGTCGAAACACGGTCAGTTGGCGTCTCTCGATGGGATCGCGTGCTGATGCAGGCTGTGGTAGCATCCACAACATGATCGTGGATCTGCAGCACGACCCACGCGCATGGGACGAGTTCCAAGTACCCTAGGACGAGTTTCACCCGAGGCAAACCGTGGCTTTGTTCTAGCGCCGCATCAAGGAGTTCCAGGACCAAAAGAAGAAGGGAACGGTACGCCAAGGGATTTTTCACACGAAATCAACATGGTCATCGACAGGAGATCGATGTGCGTCGGCGCGGTGGCACCACCCGGGCAGCGAGGCTAAGTCGAGTCGTGGGTAGATTGTGCACGAGAACAAGGCGAACGCGTTTGCAGTCACACCGCCCGAGTATTACCATGAGCGGTGCGAAAGAACGCCGCGGTCTGTTTGTGACACGATGCGCAGATCACGACAGCGACAAGCGCAGCACATTCAGACAATGGCCAAGTACAAAGCCCAGCTCGAGATGGAGCACGAGCGGCGGATCGATCAACTGGATCGCCGCGCGCAGAAACTCAAAGAGCAGCGGCGGCGGCTCGCGTGTCAGAGCCAGGGACGGCTGTGGCTCCAAGTGATCGTGGCCGTCGTGATCGCGACGACGTGGCGCCGGCGCATGGAAGTCGAAAAGTCGCGCAAGTCGATCGAGTTCAGGCAGATCACGGCCGTGTGCTTGATTCAGCGCGTGTGGCGGCGCAAGGTCCATCTGTCCAACTCGAAAGCGATGCTCCAGATCATTCTCAAGACCCGCCAGATCTTGTGGAGCCTCACCTTCAAGGTGCGGCCCACCCGCGCAGTTCTCGCGTTGCTGTGCAACTCGCGATCTCACCGAGGCGGTAGATTCTGTGCAAAAAGAAAGCCAAAGCCGGTAGTGTTCTCCGCCGCTTCCTTGTCGACTACTTCAACGGGAGCTCCGAGACGGGCAACTTTCGCGTAATGATGGCGCGGTGGCGGTGGCGCGTCATCCACGCCCAGCGGGCGAGCAAGTACGTTTCCTCGAGAGGATGAAACGAGTCATGACGGGGTCGATGCAGGGCGTTCCTCAACTGCAGCCGGGCGCGGATGACGGCGCTGTCGCTGCTATGGGACAACGCAGATAGAGAGCGCCAGCGGACGGAAAAGCTGCACCTCCAGCAAAGCAAGACGGTCGTTGTGATGCCTGGCAATTCGCAAGCTGCGGACGCGACCGAGAACGGGCACCTGTCGATAACGCGCCGCATCCTCCGCGTGGGAATCCAGGAAGAGTCACTGACCGAGATGGAGCAGCAGCTCAGTTTGATGCAAACGATGCTGACCCCTATCGAGTTCCAGCGCATGCAGCATCATGCGTACCACGTCGTACGCATTCCAAAGAGGTATGTGCCATCGTGATGGAGCAGTGGATCGACCGACGGTGGTGCAGCATCAAAGTGAAGCTCTTGACGCAATACCTGGCCGCAAAACGGGCAGACAACATCCGCGCGGTCCAAGAATACTTTGCGCATGTTCTATCCAACACAAGCTCGAGGTAAGATGAACGAAGGAACGCCGGACCGACGTAACATGCACACTTGTGCAGACAAGTGCAAGTGAACGACGCTCGGACGATCGTGCAAAATGGCGCGTGGGGAACGCTGATGGGTGGGCCCACGGGCATCTTGGACCCCAAAGCTAAGTTGGGGTACCCTGTGTTCACGTTGTACTCGAAGAACACGAGTGAAGAGATTCGCAAGCTCATTCAAGAAGGCATCGCGTTGACGCTGGAGCAAGACCCGGAACAGCGGCGTTTGGTAGAGACTCAGCGACAAGGTGCTTCCGTAGCTGCAGAAGGCGCTCCATCCAGCAGAAGGCTTTCAGTCTTCGCCATGCCGGGGGCCGGCAGCCGGCGGAACGGCAAGGACGCTGCGATGGCCAAACTCTTCGAGCACAAGAAGCTCCAAGTGTGACATGGGAGTTGTCGGATTGGCTAAAAATCAACCCATTTTTCGAGTTCAACCAATCGAATCGTTTGACAGGATTGACATATACAATACGGCATTGTCGACTTGGCATATTCGCGGTTGGCACTTGGTCTGCAACGATGAGCGATCCTGTGGGCATTGCCGATATCATGGCGGGTCGTGTCGGCGCCGTTCGCGCGGCGGCTGAAGCTCTAATCTACGAACTGGGTACGCTGGGAACACGAACGTCGGACGATGGCGAAGCGAACGCGACGTCGATTGCGACGTCGCTCAAGGCAAAGGTTGACCGCGTTCAGTCGAACATGGCGATCCTCAAGAAGTTGAGCGCTGAATTCGAAGACAAGACGAAAAACATCGACAAAGTCACGCAAGCACAGCGCAATCTCATGTTTGAGTACTACTGGAAACTCCAGGTTCGTCGCCTGCCCCCGGTCTTTAGACCTCATCGGGTTTGGCGGTAGGTCCGCGAGATGGCTGGAAAAGGAGCGAACGTGTGGCTCTCTCAAACGACAACATGGTTTCCTCGGATGGAATACCTGTCGTCCCATGCATCTGCGTTGGCTCCTGCAGGATTTGTGACCCACCCGGTCGATAAAGTCAAAGCTCCGATGAAGGTAGGCGCACATATCGATCGTTCCTGATCCCATGCGGCGCATGGCATGCACATAGGTGAACGATCGATTGACGCCCAAGTCGTCCAAGCGCGCGCGGGCCATGGTGTTTGACGAGCAGGGCGATCTGCAGCCCGCCGATCTCGGCCAAATGATGGAGTACATCATGAAGCGGAACAAAGCGAGCAAGTTCTGGAAGCAGACCGAAACGACGCGGGGCGGACGCAAAGTGATCACTGCAATCACGTGTCACTTGAATAACGAGATCGTGGTTCACATGAGCTTCTGTCCGCACATTCCCGAAGACGGTCCGAACGGCGACTGCGGCGTGTCGGCGAGTCCCATGACACCGTCGACCCCCAACTCGCCTGCGTTCGGGATGAACCGCGGGCTGCGCGCGAAGCGGCAGGCGAGTCTCAAAGCGAAGAAGGTCATCCGCAAGTCGAAACGAGATGATTTGCTCGCCAAGGTCAAGATGGCGGCCGAAGAAGCATCCAAGATGGAGCAAGAAGAGCTGCGGAAACTCGTCTTGGATGCCAAAGAAAGCGGCAAGGATCAGGAAATGGCGCGCGCCGCAGGCACCCAAGTGACCAAATGCATCCAGCGCATCAGTGTCTTTCCCCTAAACGAATCGGCGCCGCTCGGCGCGTGGTCCGAGTCCAAGTACAAACTGTTTGAGCAAATGACGCTCCATGCCCGACAGGTATCTCCCCCCGTTCCCTTTTGCATCGCCTCGACCGACGCCTGGGCTCGCCGTAGGCGCTCTGCTACTTTCGTGTGCATTACCCCGACACGTGCTTTTACCACTTCTTCGTACGGCGATATGATCCGAGTCGGCATGCTTTTGATGTCGATGTAGGCATGGATGAGCTACTACGACAAAGTGTACCAAACCCCATGCACCGCATGCAAGAAAATCCTGTACGTTCGCTGCGATGTGGGCAATCGAGCCAACGTCTCTGGTAGGGCCAAGGCGGCCGACGACAGCACGTACGTCCCGCCGGCGTTCCGAGATTACTCGACGGCGCTGCCGTACCATTCGAATTGCATGTAAGGGGATGTCGCTAACTACCGACGCAAAGTCTGGTCCAAACGGATAAAGCGCCCCACACAACACGTTCCGTTGCCATTTTTGTTTGCTGTTGTCCGCCGCGAATAGAACTTCCTGGGCTGACCGACGACCCGATACGGAATGGCATGCGCTCCTCCCGGACGACTCGATCGCGCGGTCGAGAGAAAGTGGCGTCGAGTCATCTGCATGTATTTTCAAACGAGGTCCTTGAACTCCTCCACCGGAGCAGGGACGCGACGCTGTGCTTGCCGTGCACGTTTCCCCCTTGTATCGCCGGGGTTTCCAGCGGCACGACCTCTTTCACGATCGTGACTGTCCTAGGACTCGGTGATGGATGCACCGTCGACGCGTCCCCACGGCGGCACACTTCGACACGCACGCGTTAGATTTTCTCCTTTTTAGCTCTTTTGGCCTTCTTGGACGTGCGGGGAGCGTCGTCGTCGGCGGATTTGTTGGGTTTTCGCTTGTTCGACTCGTCGCCGAGAAAGTCGGAGAAGAGCTCTTTCACCTTTTTCTTTCGCTCTACAACCGACCGCACGTGACGACGCGCCGTGTTGTCCAAGAAAGTTGTACCGTGCGACGACAGCCACTTTTCCCGATTCGACTTGAACTCATGGACGTTGCAGTGCGTGAGAACCATCGAGGCAAAGTGGCTCCCAGCCAGCTTGCCGTCCACGGCCGCCAGTTCGTCGACGATCGCGGTCTACACCGCCGCCGTCAATGGGGAAATGGATGAGGAAGAGATGCACCTTTTCGGCGAGCGGCATCACGTCAAAGCACTTGAGCACCGTGAACGACCCGTTTCGATCCAACACGAGCGACCCAAATTGGCCCTTGAGCTTTTCATAGAGGGCGAGTTTCGCGTCGTCGCTCTCGCTTGCCCAGATCGGTTCCTATTCCGCACACGATTCAGGCGCGCGAGACAGCGCCGAGACTACCACAAGGCAGCGGCTCCCAGTCGAGTCCTTGGCGAGTGCCACAAGCTGCAGCGAATTGAGTTTCAGGATGCTGGACATGGCAACGTCACGATCGGTTCGATTGGCATCGGAAGGACTGCACAGCCGTGGGTACCTTTGCGTCAACGGAGTCGCCACGTCGGTGGGAAACTTGAGCATCGTTTCAATGATCCGGGCGCCGGGAACGTTCAGCGTCAGCCTCGAGTTCTACAGCCATCAAATCGCAAGAGTTCGTCGTTGAGGGCGGTCGTTGCACACCTGGTTGTTGGAGAGCTGGAGTCCAATGAGCGCCGACACAACGTCACGCCGAGCTGGCTCAGGCTTGGCGCTCTCAAGCTTTTCCACGCCGGCCACCAACGCCAGGAAGAAGCTCTTTTCACGCAATTTGAACCGCACGCAGAGCTCGGCGAGACGCCAGATCACACCCGCGCGATGCTACGCCATACTCGATGAGTCCCCTCCATCGCCAGTGGGAGAGACGTACCATGGACAGCAAACTCCACAGCGCCCCCTGCAACTCGTCCAACACAGTCTCGGCGAATTCGGGGGTTGGTGTGCGCTGAATAAAGTTTTGCACGACAAAGTTTGAGATGGCATGTTCGGCAAACTCTAGAAGTCGGCCTTGCAAGCACCGTTCAAAGACGGCGGTCCACACGTCTTCGTCGCACGAGTGGCACACCTACAGCATGAACCCACCGTTGGACCTTGCGGCATAGGCCAGCCAACGCACCGCTTCCAGGAAATGGCTCGCGACCGAGTCGCCCGCAAAGTCGTAGAACCGCTGCTTGCTTCGCTCTTCGTCATTCCACTTGAGCAATTTGAAGATCACTTTCGACTGGATCGATGCCGGCGCGACGCGGACGGCCATCGAAAGTACTGGCCCCGCATGCGAGTCCGACATGAGCTCCATGAGTTTGCCGTCCGAGCTCGCGAGGACAAGTTCAAGCATTTCGGCGAGCGTGTCTTGGAATGCTGCAGGTACTTCCGTCGACCTACCAGCCATTGTGGTGGTCAGGACGCGGTGGGGGATGGCGGCGGTGGACGCACCCTGATGCCGCGTCGGATGGATTCGCCTGGAACTGCAGCGCTTTGTGCTTGCCCTTCTTCCCCCGCTTCTCGACTACGGGTGCCCGTCCCGCCAGCGCGCAAAACACAGCGCGCATCACGTGGCTTGCACTCACGTCGTTGATGAGTGTCAACCACTCGTTCTGAACCTCGGCGCACATGGTGACGACAAGGGTCGCCATCTCGGGCACTCCTGCAGCGCGGTCGTCGTCGTCATCGTCGGCAGTCTACAGAACGGCACCGAGACAGTCTCGTTAGAGAAATCATGCAGATCGAGCACGTCCTGGCTGGCTGCGAGACCCTGCCCAGATGATGGACGACTGACGAGTGTACCTCGCCTTTGACTTCATTTTCGACTATCGCGCCAACTTTCGAAAGCACACGCTGCAGCACGTGGGACGAGTACCGATTTGTCCACAAATGGCTAAAGTACCCTTCCATCTTGTGTAGGAAGAATCGCAGTTGTTGCGCGGACATGTGGTCGACGAGGACTTCGATGTATGCGCATGCATGTCGGTCGGACGCAGCACTCGCAATGCGTGGCGCGATTTCTTCCAGCACGTTCCACAGCAGCATGCGACTTGTTTCAACGTCGCCATCCTTGAGGTTCTGTACAAACGACTCGTTCACTTCCTCGAGGTACGACAGGGTGTCCGGCTCCAGGCGACGAGGTCGCACTCGTCTAGTAAACCATCAGCTTCAACATATCGAGTCTACACGATCTGCATCTGCACGTACTCGGGGCGGCCCTCGCGCGCGGACAGGTCGTCGTGGTCGCTACTCATGGCAATGATCGATCGTGGAATTGATTGGTGCAACTTCAAAAACCTTTTGATTCGCTATAAATCCACCAATCAAATAATAGAACTCTCTGATTGGTGGAATGCCGGCATCTGACGTGGCAGCCGCAGAACGAGGCACGGCGCGTCTTGGGTGGTCACCAGTGCCACGGCACGGCGCTCTCCTGTCGTGCTTCAGAACAATCGTCGCCCGTGTGCCTTGCCGTGGGACCGCATTGAAGCGCTATAACCTGTACTCGTCAGAGTGACCTTTCGCAAGTTGGAGCGTTTCACGAGCCGCATTTGGCCGCGAACGCGCTACAAGATGCCCGCCTTCTGCCCGAGGTAAGCCATCCATCGCCCGCGCGGGGGCGCACAGGCCTTGCGCTGGCGCGATGCTCACGTTGAGCCTCGGCATCGTCTAGGTGTGGCGACTTGCTAAAGAGTGTGACCGTGTGTGGGAAATGCCATCTCACTGCCGTACGACACAACCTCTCAACATGTGCTTATGCAAACTAACGTGTCGCGCGCAGGTCACGACCCAATCTGCTTCGTTTCAGACGGAGTCCGGCACTGCAGTCGAACTATCGCCAGTGCATCCGCCGGTGGAAATCGCGACTTCTTCGTCTGGCGTCGTCGCCAGGGCGGGGTCGGTTCGGAAGCTCAAGAAATGCGGCGTGTGCTCGAATCCGATTGTCGGAGCATCAACTTGCACGCGCCGATACGGTGGCAACGACGTTGCTTGCCACGACAGTGTGCGTAACTGCGTCATTGCCCACGCTGGTGTCCTCACGACCACCCAGTGCCTCACTTGCAAGCAATGTCGAAAGCCGATTGACGGGACGACGCGATGGACCGTCGTGTACAACTCGGTACAGCCGACGCTCTCCTCGTCGACTTGTTCCATCGAATTCGTTAGGCCTACCACGAAGCCTGTGCGGTGGGGTTGCGCGTGTGCCATGGCTGCCACGAGGTATACTAAAGCCGTGGGCGCGTATTTGACAAGTTTGTACCGACATGTAGCCGATCGTGGGAAAATGCGTCGACCAAGACGCGTATTCGTTCCACAGAGTGTGCTTGGACAAGCATCGCAAGTTGTCACCGCCTCCTTGTGGAGAACGACATGGTGGGCGCTCTCTTTCACTGCAAGTGTGACTCACCTGCAGTTTGGCTCTAGCGCCTGGGCTACCAGTTCCTTTGGGAATCGGCAGCGATCACGCAGGGCACACAAACGACGTCGAACGGGCCACGGTTGCTCTCAGTACCGTCGATGCGACGGCGCGACTGTCCACTGCCCAAGAACGAGGAATCAACGATGCTGTTGCGACGGACGAGGACCATCCTTCAGAAAACCAACCGCATGGAGGCCCATCGGCGTCCCCAACCCACACGGCGACGGACCACGACCCATCGATCCCATCGGACATGCCAAAGCCTGATGATGTTGTCGAGAATCAAGCACTGGTCCCTGTCGCGAGCGCAGACAAGGGCAGCGCACAAACATGGACACAAGTGAACGCTACCGAAAGGCCCGGGCGAGTGTGGCCTCTCCCATCGATAGACCAACGCGGATCCGACGTCAACCCGACGACCAGTGTCGACGAGCCAACGTACAACAGTGCGACTACCTGCACCGACATCAAACGCGTCGTCGAGTGCCTCTCCTGCGGACACCGTATCCAGGACAAAGCGATCGAAGTCCCATCAGGCTCTTTGTACCACGAAAAGGTAAAAAAAAGACGTTGGCGAAGAGCTCTCACGTGGCTGTAGTGCTTTGTGTGCACCACGTGCGAGCAACGCATCGACGACGACGTGGTTGGTTTTATCCAAGACGGCTGCAAGGTGGGCGCCATCCCTCCATGACACGCTGCTCTCAATCAAACTACAGATCTTTCATCCGCAATGCTATTATGAACATTCGGGACGACTGTGCCGCGGATGCCGGCAGGTCAGTCCATCGCCACGTTGGGTAAAAGTGATGAAGCCTGCTCCATGTAGGTTGTGGACGTTGGCGCGGTGAAACAACGCGACAAGGGACAGCTCTTCCATCCGACGTGTTTCCGCTGCGCGGATTGCTCTGCCCCTCTGACCAGTACATCCGTCGTTGTTGCTCGTTTTTGGCTCAAACTCTCACTGCAGACGAGTTTCTGGACTTGGACGGGGACGACGTGTGCCGCGAATGTTACTTTCACCATGTTGTCGCCAAATCCACGACAGAGTACATGGCGACAGCGACGGCGGCCACTTTTGCTTCCGTACGAATCGCTATTGCTCTGTCCCCCTTTGCTACCATTGCGCCGTAGGATCCGTGCCAGCTTGCCGTAGCCGTCGGTGACAAGTTAACCGTGTTGTCTGAAGTATGTGCCAATGCTCTTTTTGCCGCAACAGGACAAAGCCCATCGTGATGTAGGACTGGGATGGGTGGACGATTGCAAAGAATGCCAGCCATTCCATGGGGTACATTCCAAGCGCGTCCGTTCGCCGGTCGCTCGACTAAATCGATCAAACGAAAATTTGTATGTCCATTGACATGGAGATGCATGGGAACCGAATCGTTCCCTCGTGTCCTGAGCCTGCACCCCATCCAAACGTTCTGGTCTTGCGGGAGGGCTCTCCCCGGCCACCACGCCAAACCTGGCGGCCCCCCTCGCAAACAATAGCGTTCGCCGAGTCGGGCGGCGCCAACACGAACAAAGGATATATCACAATGGGGACTTAACGTTGTGCCGTCAAACCAAGCGAGGGAAAATCTACCGCACGCTGTGGCCACTCCACACGCGCAACTTGGTACGTTTCAAAATATGGACCGGGTTGGCTCGATACTCGAGAAAGTTTTCTTGATAGCCTTGAAGGACGAGAGGCGGCAGGACGCAGCACACGATGGCAAGGACGATGGTGAACCAGAATGTGGCCGACGACAGGAGGCGTGCCCACGACCCGTACAAGTCGCCGTCCATCCCGTCGTAGACCAAAGTGGACCCGATAAACGCCAGAAGAGATCCGCCGTACGCAATCAAGGTCAGAGTCGTCCAGTAACTAGAACAGAAGCCACATGAGCCCATTTGTCGTGTTCGTCGCTCGTACTTGGTTTGCAGGCAGATCGTTAGAGACGTGACCAGCATGATCCCGATGTACGTGGCGACGCCGTTGGTAAATAGATCCATGTTCGCGACGCCTTGATGCGCTTCCAAAAAGTACAGCGGAAGCATGGTCAGAACGATGGCGTGGAAAATCCCCAGGGCGCCAACCGAAGACACCGTGGCAAGTGAAAACGCGACCTGGGTGACACAGCGATTCATCTTTCGTCCCAGCCTGCCCTTACCTTGGTGTGGCCGACTTGATACAGCTCGGGGAATTGCAACGAGATGTGGTCAGGGAGGACCTTCTCGAGCACGGCGCGGGCGACGACCGGGAGAAAGGTGAAGCACAGGTTGTACGCGGCAATATACAGCGAAGAAAAGTACGTCTAGCGGACAGAGTTGAACATCCATCGGACGGCACAGGCGTCGTACCGTTCCCGAAAACAGCGACAGGATGCCGTACACAAACTGCGGCGACGTGCACACGACGTTCTTGTACAGAAAATAGTTGATGCACTGCGTGATGCGCTGGTACGACATGCGGCCTGCCCAGGTTGTTGGGTTGGTATCATGCGGGATGCGAGGGACGACGCACCGTGGTAGAGGAGGAGGCGGTCGAGATGTCGGAACTGTGGAATCGCAAAGTCGGCGCTTCGGACGGCTTGGTTGCCTTCTTGGCCCATCACGCCCACGCCCACGTGTGCAGCTCGAATCATGGAAATGTCGTTGGCGCCGTCGCCGCTGTTCGCACGAGATGTCGGCGCCTTGCATGAAGGCGAACAGTCGCTTTACGTACACTGCCATTGTCACACACCCGACGCCGTCCTTGACGAGCTCGACGACTAATGCCTTTTGCAACGGAGACATCCGGCACACGATGACGGCGGCACATTGCGTGGCAAACTGAAGAAACGCCCGGCGATTCGACGGCATCAGGGCAAACGAGAGCGAGAATCCGTCGATGATGAGGGCCCGGGGTTTCTGACGGAGCACAGGTCACGATCAGTCCAGGACTTTGTCGTACCAAGCACGGAGTCGACGCCAGCGCGAGCAGGTTCTTCGCGATGGCTGGCACCGTCGCGCCATCGAGCTGGACTTCGACCATGTCCTTGGAGATGACATGACACGACCGGCCGATTTCGACCGCGGTTTCCACTTTGTCCCCCGTCAGGACCCAAATCTATCGTACGCCCACGTTGAGCAGACGGTGCGCACTCGCCCGAACCTTGACGTCGGCGCGAAGCAACCGCGCGATCGTGTCAGGGACCCCGTCTTGCAATTTGTCCTCGATCGCTACAATCCATGCGGCGTCACTCGAGGGATCTCGCACGAGGCACGTACCTGTCGTGGCCAGGAACGTCATTTTCTGCTCAATCTCGTTGGCGATGGCATCGATGGCTTCTTCGCGGGATTTCATCGCAAGCTCGGCATCGCGGTATGCTTTGGCCCACTTGTCAAACGTCGCCTCGTCCTGTCCACAGAACGCCATGACGGTCCGCTTCCGACGTGACTCCGCATACCAAGACGCGTTCGGCAAAGCACAACGTGCGCAGGCCCTCGCCCGCGAATTCCTTCAAATGTGCTTCAATCGCGCCCTTCGATTGCGACCCAAAGTTGGCACATCGCTCCAGGATGACACAGTCCGCTCCTAGCCGCGACCACAGTCACTTATCAGGGGCGACAGGAAGCGCGGGGAGACCTTTGCAAATGAGTCGGATCGTGTCGGAGCGCCGATCGCGGACAATCACAGACATGCGCTTGCGATTGCTGTTGAACGCGAGGACGTACAACACGTCAAATTCGATTCGCGCGGTTTCGATTTTGAGATGCTCTTTGGCAATGACAGCCTGCGGGTCGGACGCACGCAGTGGGTGGTTCGATCGAGGTGGCGGAGGACGGTTTACCTTGCGGTTGACGCGACCGAGGAATCGAAACCCGAGGAGGTTGGCGCTCTTGACGAGGGCCGCCTCGTCCGGCGAATCCGCGTTGTACTGGAGGACAGACGGAGTCGCAGAGTCCGGTTCACATACAACGGTGTGGCACAGCGCCATGGCCAGAATAAACTTGGCCTCGGGGGTCGAGTCGTCGAGGCCGCAGATGCGCAGGTGATCCAGCGACAACACTTTAAAGTCTGTCGCTTGGCTCGACTTGCTGGTTGTCGACGTGCATTCGACGACGTTCTTCACGTCTTCGCTGTCCATGACATGGCCGATGCCGATCGCGGACGCCACCACGTTCAAGTCGCTGTCAACCTCCGACGACGAGTAGATGCACCCGTTGACGCTGCACTTGCGAAACTCCATCAGGTTTTGCGTCAACGTGCCGGTTTTGTCGGAAAACAAATATTTGACTTGGCCGAGCTCTTCGACCAACGTCGACGTGATCGCGGCCGCGCATTCGCCCTATCGACGCAACCCGTCAGCGCCGTCAGCGCCATCCGTCAGCACCTTGGAATTGCGCATTTCGCGGTCCCATCCAATGTAATTGGCATGGATCGTCTTGATGATCTCGACGCTATGAACAGATCCGTCCATGTCGGGTTCGTTCGCGCGATGTGTACCTGACGACAAGCGAGCTCGGGATGAACGTGTTGAGAAGCACGATAAACGAGAGAAAGGTGAAGATGCCTGAGAACGAATCTTCGTCCGACTGTGACACGACGCCCATGATGGCCGACTCGAAGGGCGTGGCCCACATTTTGTGGCAGATCGACCCCACGGCACACAACATGACTTGCGCCACGAAAATGAACACTACCGCCCGATTCACCATGCCGTCCACGTGGCTGAACTTGTGGTACGGTTCTTTGGCATTTTTCATCATCTTGGTCTCGTGGCCTGCCCGCAATTCATTCCATCGAGGTTTCGTTAAAAGCGACGCGATACCTGTGTATACGACGATGACGACTGCCCACTTGGTGTTTTTGAGCGTAGATCCGCGGGGAATAAACTGCTGTTCGTCCAGGGCGTGGATGTCGCCCGAGATTTCGAGTGTTCCAGTAAACTTGTACATGTCGACGTCCGGTGCTTCGCACTGCAGGGTGAACCGAGGAATGTGTCCGTCCGGATCGGACGCGTCGGGAAAGCGCGTAATTGCTGTGATCGCGGGGCCAGTGCGCGACTTCAAGTTGGCTTCACCGTCCAGGTTGCTCGTGTCGATTAAGCACGCACCTGCGACAGAGCGGTCAACTCGACTGCGTCGACGGACTTGACGCACCGTTTTCTTCGGACGTGGACAACACGACGCCGTCCGCGGCAAAATTTTCCTTGTCATGGACTTGGAGAATGTCGCCGACTTGAATATTCTCCCACATGACGTCGAGCACGTTGCCGCGGCGCCACACCCGAGCTGGTTTGAGATTGCTTTTCTTATCCGACAGCCAACGATTCTGCCGCGATAGACAACACCAAACGTCACCAATATGTACGAAGAAGTGAGACGTACTCTGTCCTCGATCGCTTCTCGCAAGAGACCGATGCACACGACAAGTACGAGGGGAAAGATGGCCGTCATGGGCCCCAGCGGCGAGATAAGCGGCATGGATTGGAGGACAGCGATGATCAAAAAATAAAAGTTGGTCGACTGGAGAGGAAGGATGAGACCAACAAAGGTCGTCGCGAGAGCACACAATACCAGTCGAAAGGCCAAGTAGAGGCCGATGGGCAAGAAGTTGTACACTGTGTACTTGGACGTCCGCACTTGGTTCGAAACGTATCTGCCACCCGCGTTATCTTGAGCCACATGGGAATAGATGCGCCGCAGCCCATCGTGGTGCATCCCTCCGCTTTCGAGGCGGATGGCCGACACACTGCTGCGCGACGCGCCATCCGCGTCTGGCGCCGGTTTAATGGCAATGGATGGCGGTATTGCGGACACTGTGCTGCTCGTTCCTGCCTTCGCTGCTGCGCGTCCGGCTGCTGCTTCAGTGGCGCCCCCGTTGTTTCGCTCACAGGTTGGAGTAAATATAGCTGCCAAATCAACTGAAACCGCTACCGGGACGGCGAAACCGACCGTTGACGACAGACATGGCACGACAAAGTGTGGTCCTACAAAATAATGTTGAAATTTGTATCTTGTCGTTGCGACGGTGGGTTTTCCTGAAATGGAATCAGGACTCCGCTTTGATTGGTTAAAATATTATGATTTCGACGACAATCAACCAATTGGAATCCAAGCAAGAGTACTACTAGTAGTAGTACATGCCGATCGATTGGGATACTTTGTGACATGTCCGTTTAGCGCCGTACATGCGACAGCAAAGGACGGGAAACGAACGAAAGAATTGCTGAGGCGTCAGTGGAAAATTGCAGAATTTCATGGATATGGCAAGCTGAAATTCTATCCTGTGAGATTTTACGCTGTCGTAAAGCGCCCTAGTACACACACGTGGTCGAGTGATCCAATTTTGGACGGCAATTGTCCATTTTCAAAAGGTGGCACCTGTTGGATGCGAAAAAAAATGACGATGGGAAATCGATGATGGGCACAACAAGGAAAAAAAGTCGGCCGAGTCTGGATACTAACTACAGTAGTACACACGATGTACCGCTACTATCGTCCCGACTTTGAAGGCGAGCACCGCACATCTCACAGAATTATTTTCAGAAACTCTCAAGTACTTTTTTTTCACAGCTCTACCAGACGAGCCTTCCTGACACGATTGCTCGATCCTGCAGAGTGTCGAGGATGCACCGTTCACTCCTGTCGCGTGGGAACACCAAGAGTCCTTAACCCACAACATGACGTCGATACCAAAGGTACATAGGCAATCTTGTCACACAGATAGCATCTTAAGGTCGGTGCGGCTCATGTATTCATAAATGGTGGATGCAGTGGGTGGGTCACGAGAGCAGGGCACAGGGGGGGGGCTCGCGACTCTTTCAAGGGTTGTGCCAAAGATGGCACACAGATATTCGAAGAGTTGCCTCGATGGTGTATACACTCTGGGTGAAAGGTTGACATTTCGAACATTACAGAGTGTCACGAGGGGGCAAAATGGGCCCAAGCACTTTTGGCGTCAAAGAAGCGAGGAGTCGTGTTGTGCGAGAGAGCCCAACAGGACCGGAGTGCACAACAGGAAAGTACGAAGAGTACGATTCGAGACGCGTTTGTGCAGGGACTGTTCCCACCACTCATGCACTAGCTATACGGTGGCGGCCTCTGATTGGCTGGAGTACCAAGGGAAGGCTGTTGATTGGCCACAAATCCAGGTGACCTCTGATTGGCCAAATAGTTGCAGGTGAAAACCACGTTGCAAAGAGCGTCCCCTGAGCAGTGCGCCCCTTCAGTTATGTACACGACGTCGAACAACACCAGAGTCAGTCTAGCAGTAAAGCTCGAATTCGGTTGAGCCCCGTCGCGCCTTGTACAATGATCGCCGACGACTCTGACGCACATGCGCCTGCGATAGAGCTGAGCGGCGATCCGTTGTCGTACCGTGATCTAGTTTGTTATTCCAAGTCCGTGGCTCGACAGGTTGAAGCCAAGGCGAACGTCGCTTGTCTGGGCGCCCAAATCCTCGTCGTCCTTGGAGAAAGCTTCGAACTTCCAGTAGCAGTTCTCGCGGTCCAAGCAATTGGTGCGATTCCAGTCTTGCTGGACGTCGAACGTCCGGCACAGGATCTCGCCGTCACGATAGCCGATTCAAACCCAACGTTGATGGTCACCGTCGAGAGCTACCGCCATCTTATCCTGAGCTTAGCTGCGCCGTCAACTCCTGTGGTCTACCTAGACTTGACGGAAGTGGCTGCGAACTCGACACAATTCGACAGGAGCCGTCTCCACATTCCATCCACTCTTCACGACGGTTTTGTTGCCTCGGCGTCCGTGCCCACAAGAATGCCAATGGCTTTTCCTGAAGCCCATGCCTCCGCCACGACGAATTCTTGTCGATTGCATTCCATGGACACAGGAATCTGCGCAGGATATCGAGTTGTCGCGCTTGGCCACGATACATTACTCGTCGGCTTGTGGATGGCACTCTCGAACGGCGCAACGTTTGTCCTCCGATCACGACGTCTCGCCAGCGACTTGCGCACTGTTCATGCCATTGTCTGCACCTACCCAGAGCTATCTGGTCTTGGCCATCCCACAGCGTATCCCAGCTTGAAGGTCGTCGTCGTTGTTGGCGACGTTTGTCCATCGCACGTCCAGACCCTGTGGTCAGCATTTGTACAATTTCGCTTGTGTCGAAATCGAGACCTGTCTATCTTGGGGTGCCATGTCGAGCTGGTTATGGAGGACGCGTTGCGCGGTTCTGAAATCTTGCACTCGCGCGACTTCGTTGACAATACAACACTTCGTCCGAATCCATTTGACCATGCAACCAGTCACAAAAACCGAGCCGGGAAAGAAGGATCTCGCGAATTTTGGTGTGCCGCTCTGGAACTGGCCGCCAAGACAGCACCGCTCTCCGTGCCAAAGCCCGTCGCCTGTGACGTCAAGTACAAAGCGCTCTGTCGCACCCTCGACCTGCGTCACTTGCGCGACGTGTGCAATCTGGCCCAGGTCACGCCAAGCTCCGTCTTTCGAACAGCGTGGGCGATGGTGCTGCGACACTACACGCAGTCGAACCACGTCATGTTCGGAACAGTGGTGTCGGGACGCGATGGCGGCCTTGCTGGCACGGAAAGGTACACCAACCGTGTGATCGACGCGCTGACAGCGGGTTTGGTAGGATGATTGGGACGTTGATCAACACGGTCCCCGTGCTTGTCCACGTGGGACAGTCCGAGCTCGCGTCGGACTGCCTCAAGGCAGTCCACGCCTTTTCCACCGACATGATAGACCATGCACACTGCAGCCTGTCCGACATACAGCGTTGGATAGGCAAGACGGAGCTGTTTGACACGATTGTGGCCTTTGAAAACTATCCCCCGTCCCAACTGCAGCTCTCCGACATCGCGACGCCGGTCCGCATCGACGTCACATCAGGGCACGAGTTTGTCGACACAACGGTGTGCGTTGCGATTTCCCCCGAAGCTGGAGATCTCTATCAAGTCAAGACGACGTTCAAGTGCGCTGATGTCAGCGAGGAGATGGTGCAGCGCATGACCGATCGGTTTGCGCACATCTTGGCGATGCTTGCCACGCCGACGTCGTGCCATCAAGTCGTAGCCGAGACGAGCGCAGCGCCAGCAAACGAGGCCAACTTCATTGCGCTGTCGTCATGCGGCACGCATGTCGCCTTGCCATACGAGCTCTTGCATCACGCGTTCGAGGAGAGAGCCCGAGAATGTCCAGGACTGTCCGCCGTCGAATATGGTCCGGCGTCGTTGTCCTATGGGGACCTGAACGACCAAGCCAATGTCCTCGCGGTCAAACTGACTGAACTTGGCGTCCACGTTGGCAGCCGAGTGGCCGTCATCATGGAGCGGTGCCTTGAGTTTCCGATTGGGTTGCTGGCCACGCTGAAAGCCGGCGCCTCCATGGTACCCCTCGACGCGACATTTCCACCTGAACGGTTGAGGTATGTGCTAGCCGACGCCCGTGTATCGGTGGTAGTCACGACCAACGACCACATCGGGCACGTGGCAGCGATCGAACATGACATCCCCGTTGTGTCTATCACGTCCAAGGAGCTCGCACAGAGCGGAGCCTGCTTTGAGCCACGCCCAGCCCAAGTCGCAACACCGCTGGACGAGGCCTACGTCGTCTACACGTCGGGGTCGACGGGAAAGCCGAAAGGTGTCCCTGTCCAGCATGCTGGTGCCGTGAACGTCATGGTGCACAGCGCCGCCGCCGTCGGCATCGTTCGACACGCGCGGGTCATGCAGTTTATGGCCGTCTCGTTCGACGGGTTTCAGATGGACATGTGGAAGTGCCTGTCGCACGGCGCCACCTTGGTGCTTCGAGACACTGGCTTCATGGACACTCTCGTGCACTCCATCGATGCGTTTGCGTGCACGCCAACGGCGCTGGCCCAGCTCGGCGACCCCCGTCAGT